CAGTCCCCTCCCAATCTGCTCCTAACTAAGAAATTATAGCTTAACCCAATTATAACTGTGCCGCTATACATTTCATAGTATCTCGTTAAGAAACTTCCTTCAGAAAATCGGTGAATTCTTGGTGCTTCGTCACCTTGTTAAAACTTTGGTCAGCCATCTGCATCCATAATTTCTTTTATAATTTCACGTGGTAAAATAAAATCCAAGATATTTTTTACAAACTCTATTTTTCATTCTTCTCCACACTTTTTGTATTCCTCCGGACTCTAATTTCACGGTTTCTTCTTAACTTTTTTATGTATTCCTTCCAAGTTTTTTTGTATTCCTCCAATTTTTTTTGTAGACCTTCCAATTCTTTTTTGTATTCCTATCAACTCTTTTTGTGTATTCTTCCAACTTGTTTTTTTTGCAATCCTCTCAAAGTTATATATCTGTGCCCCTCAAAACATCTACATGTACTATTCAACTGCTTCATGTATTCTCAAGCTGTTTTCAGTATTTCTCCTAACTTTATTTAGCATCGCTGTCTTCTTTGTTTGGTATCACTCCCAACTTTATTCAGTTTATCTCCCAACTGTATTCAGTATCTTTTCCAACTATAATCACTTTCTCGCCCAACTATATACAGTTTTTCTCCCAACTTCATTCTGTATCTCTCCCAACTGTATTCAGTATCTCTCCCAACTTTATTTAGCGTCGCTCCCTACTTTGTTTTGTATCACTTTCAACTTTATTCAGTATCTCTCTCAATTTAATCAGTATCTATCACAACTTTATTTAGTATCTTTCCCAACTGTATTCAGTATCTCACATAACTGTATTCAGTATCTCTTTCAACTGTATTCAGTATCAATCCCAATTGTAAAATCAGTATCTCTCCCAATTGTAAAATCAGTATCTCTCCCAATTGTAAAATCAGTATATATCCCAATTATATTCAGCATCTCTTCCAATTGTATTCAGTTTCCCTCCCAATTATATTCAGTATCTCTCCCAATTGTATGCAATATCTCTCCCAATTGTATTCAGTATCTCTCCCAATCGTATTCAGTATCTCTCCCAATTGTACTCAGTATCTCTCCCAATTGTACTCAGTATCTCTCCCAATTGTACAAGCCCATCCAACATATTTCACATTTGTAACTTCAAAATCTAATTAGATATTATTTAACGAATACAGTTACATCCCCCCCCACTCTCTCTTGAACCTAGCCGTCATATGGGGTAGATTTTGAGTATTTTATGGACCGCGCCAACAATACTATAACTGCACAATAATTTGATCACAAATGTGCAATTTCTATATAACTGTATATATATACTACAGTTAAATGTTGGTTCATTAATTTATCACCCCTAGTTACCTACTTTTGAAAATTATAATTAATTTAGTTGATAAAGCGGTTATGAGACTTAAATTGAAAGATTTGTACTCAATGAAATTTAATGACTAATTCTGATGATATACATATGACAGCTACAAATATAAAAAATAAAAATAAAATCACTAAAAAAATTTTTTTTTCTCTCTTTCCTATAAATATAATTCTTGGTTTGTTCTAGTACATAAATTATCCTGTTATCTAGTACAATAAAAAGTACAATAGAGTATAATAGTGTATAGACCGCGTGAAATTTGGTTCATCTTTTAGATAGACACAGTTATAAACCACAATCAAGGGATGATAGAGCAGAAATAGTTCAGTAATGCCCATTTATTTAACTTTTATCACGTTGAGTAGATATTTCCCATTTATCAGTCTTATTTTTTATCAATTTTAGTATTTTGCATTTATTTAATTTTTATCAAGTTTATTATTGTCCATTTATTTAACTTTTATCAAGTTTATTATTGTCCATTTATTTAATTTTTATCAACTTTAGTATTGTCCATTTATATAACTTTTATCAAGTTTAGTATTGTCCATTTATTGAACTTTTATCAAGTTTAGTATTGTCCATTTATTTAACTTTTATCAAGTTTTGTATTGTCAATTTATTAAACTTTTTATCAAGTTTAGTATTGTCCATTTATTTAATTTTTATCAAGTTTAGTATTGTCCATTTATTGAACTTTTATCAAGTTTAGTATTGTCCAATTATTTAACTTTTATCAGGTTTAGTATTGTCCATTTATTTTATTTTTATCAAGTTTAGTATTGTCCATTTATTGAACTTTTATCAAGTTTAGTATTGTCCATTTATTTATTTTTTATCAAGTTTAGTATTGTCCATTTATTTTACATTTATCAAGTTTAGCATTGTCCATTTATTGAACTTTCATCAGATTTTAGTATTGTCCATTTATTTAACTTTTATCAAATTTAGTACTGTCCATTTTTTTAACTTTTATCAAGTTTAGTATTGTCCATTCATTTAACTTTTATCAGGTTTAATATTTTTCATTTATTTAAATAACTTTTATTAAGTTAAGTATTATGCATTTGTTTAATTTTTATCAAGTTTATTATTGCTCATTTATTTAACTTTTATCTGGTTAAGTATTATCCATTCACATAACTGTTATCAACTTTGTTTGCAATGATAAGGAACCATTTTCTGGTTCTTGGAACACCCTGTTTGTAATGATAAGGAACAATGGCTTGGTTCTTGGAACATCATGTTTGCAATAATAAGAAAAAATGTCTTTGTTCTTGGAACACCATGTTTGCAATGATAAGGAACAATGATCTGGTTCTTGGAACATCCTAAGGAACAATGTCTTTGTTCTTGGAACACCCCGCTTGCATTGATAAGGAATAATGTTCTGGTTCTTGGGTTTCAAGTTGGGAATTCAGATCTATCATAATCCATACTCTTTGTTTTTACTGAGATTTTAAGAAACGGAGGGAAGAGAGGGTCCGCTGTTAGACACTTCTTGCTTGTAATAAAAGCATATCCAATATAAAAATATTAAATTTTGTTGTCCCTTTATGAGACTTATTAAAAGTAAGTAACCAATTAAGTTTGTTTAATACTATCTCCCTGAACCCCTATAAACTTCGTTCTGTCTTTAACAAATCATTGAATACGCCATTTAAAGACATTTAATGCAGAAGACCAAATTTAGGATCGTCATATTTGAAGAGTTTCAAGTCGTCTTTACAGTCTCAGCGTTGCAGGGCTATTCTTGTATCTTAAATCTAATAAAATAAACCTTATTAAGTATATCTATCTAACTGTTATATTCCCAGATGCAGATATAAAGATGTCTTGTCAAGATTTGAAGATGTATCTATACACTTAAACCTGTATACAGAGTATATTATTTAATTGTAGGAAGATAAAGGGATGCGATAGTAGTTAACAATACTGTACTGTTACACCTACCAGCCAGTCCGCTAACCGTTCACGAATTTTAGATTCACAGCTTTTTAATTATATAATGGTTTTAGACGAGTCGAATTTGGCAAGAGATTGAATTTTCATAGTTGTTGGTAGATGGCTGTTCCAAGAATGTAAGGCAAGGAAAGTTTATTGCGAGAAAATATAAAGTAAAAAATTAACTTGAACTGAAAACCTTAGTACTGTTAATATCAAGACCAATGATTAATCTCCTCTTTTTGTTAATCTGCAGATTAATAAAACCTTTATCTTGATATCCTGGGACATCCAAAAGAGAGGATTAAGCAGAAAATTAAAAGTGTTCACATACATATTGAGATTTAGAAAACGGACATGAGGATATCCAACACAAGAGTTTCCAGCTCTGAGCTGAAAACTTTAGAATGGGATATCCTTAATCCCGATCGGTTAATTAATCTGGAGATTAATAACATGAGGAGAACAAGCCAAATTTAATCTGGAGATTAAGAAAAAGAGTGGATTAAGCATTAATCCTGATATCCACAATTCAAAAGTTCCCAGCTCTAGCTCTGGACTGTTGGCATAGTGTAAGAAAAGAAAATCCTTAGGCAGTTTAGAAATTTGTAAAACTCCCATTTTTTGTGGAATCTTTTTTAATTTCAGAAACCTTGAAAGTTTTTAAAAAACTAACTAAGCTTTGTCCCATTACAACTCATCTCCGTTTAATTAATACATGTTCTGAGCTGGGAACTTTAGAACGGATAAACTTTAATCCTGACTTCTTGATCCGAATATCCACTGTGGAAACTTTTCATTTTAGTCCTAATCCACTCTTTTTCTGTCTCCTTGGATATCCGTAAATTGTTTTCTCCAATGAGAATATTTCTGTTCTTTCATTGGTTGCTTGCTTTTCTCTGATTGGCTGCTACAGTTTCTCAGATGATTAAATATTAATTTGAATTTTATCGTTTTTCATACACTTTTAAGATAATCTTGCAAGATTATGTTAATCTGGAGATTAAGAAAAAGAGTGGATTAAGCCTTAATCCCGATATTCACCATTAAAAAGTTCCCAGCTCTGGTCACAAATATACCACGAACCAGGTTTGGCTTATTGACTTTTCTTCTAAGGCGCTTTTGGCTATAATTGATAAATAAATACATAGTTGAAATATATGTGCCTAGGGCTGGGCACATAGTTGATCTATATGTGCCTAGGGTTGTTAACTGTTATAAAAACGATCGTTAAACTATCGTCTTTTGTTTAATTTTTCGATTGGGGAGCTAAAACTTCTTGACAACTCCCAATGCCCTTCAGGTCGTTTTCCTCTCTGATCCTCTCTTCATTTAAAAAAACGATCATTTTTAAAAATAGATTTTTCATCGTCATTTTCATATCGAAACGATTGTTTTCAAAAAAATTCAAACGTTAACACCTCTATATGTGCCTAGGGCTGGGTGCCAAGGATAGGGCACATAGTTGAGCTATATGTGCCAAGGATTGGGCACATAGTTGACCTATATGTAGGTAGTTGTTCCTTTTTAGCTAAAAACAGAACGTTAATTTCGTTAAGAACATATTCCGTTTTTTAAAGCTACTGTTTGATAACGATCTCAATATTATTAACGGCGTTAAAACAGATATTTTAGAAATCGTTAATGATGATAGCTGTCAACGATCTGTTAACTATTATTTTATGTAAAAATGGTAGACAAAATTTGAAAACAACTGATGAAATCCGCAATTGGTAAAGTAGGATCGGAATTTCAGTAATTAGCTCAAATAATTAGCTTAACTACTGAGACTGTATGACGACCCTAAAACTTATTAATAAAAAATGTTTCGTAGGACACCTTGTATATAATCATTAATCAAGCAGGGTGGTCCAAAACTTTGTAAAATCTGAAACTGACGCAATTTTGGTTTTAAAACTCAAGAATAGTTAGTGGGATGCCTGTGTTGACTTGGATAAACAAATAGACATAAACTGGGAAGGATTGATAGATAGATATTATTGTTTTGAATGAGAGGATGAAGAGGAATGGAAGATTATGTCAGTCTCTGGAATACCGGCAAACTGTTAAAGGAGAGGAGGAGAGGGCAGTCAACCATATTGTGTTGGGTTCCACCCATCCAAGGAAAATATATCAGGAACCCCCTTCATAATATTTTTCAACAAAAAAGTGTTCATAGTTTTTTGGAGAAATATAAACAAAACACACCTACAGCAGCAATGAGAATATTTACAATTATAACAGAAATTACAAAACAAAGACATACTATGTTCCTAGTGCATTTTCCTTGCTATTAACCATACATCAATCCTTCCTACAATCAGTGATCTAATGAAAAATTTAATTCTGTCAGCAGTATCCTTTACTATCAATGTACAATTTAAATTGTAAATTGTGTTTGCTGTATACTAATATACATGGGAGTACAGTGTTGACCAGAAAGCTTTATAGCGATATTTAAGTGTATTTGATGTTGTTACAAAGCAAATAGTTTTACTTGACAATTATTAAGTCACTAAATAAGGGACATGGGTCTGTTAACACTGCACAATTTCTGTATCCTATGTGATTATTGGACTATCTAAAGTCATAACTTGAGCCTAAAAGTCGTCTTCCTATTTCAGAGTTTTCTGGTTATCACTGTAAAAAAACATGTCCTGCTTTAAAAGCGTCTTTTTAATACAATAGACTTTTAGGCATAAGCTGCCTTTCAAAAATTCCGACATAGACAAAAAATAAGAAAAATACATTTTTATATATATTTTATATATTATGATTAATTATTGAGCTATAAGTTTTAATTCAAAGATAGAGCACTGCGGCAATATACCTTGATTCAGTTATTGTTTTGCCTTGTCGTTTTAATGTGTTGATGAAAACATGAAATCACAAAATCCTGTAACTATATATTTTATTTTATTTTTCATTTACCAAAAAAACAGTAAGATCTAAAAAACCCTATTTATTTTTGGTTATTATGTACGAAGAAAAAAAATAAAATGTAAATCTAATACAATAAATAGGGGCGGGAAGCGCCCTGGATGCCTAATAAAAAATAATCCGAACATTGATTCCAGAGAAATGCTTTTATTATTGTTACTAGTATGTGTATGTACTCAATATGCTAGTACAAAGCTTAATGATCACAGTGCTAGTACAGATACTATCAATAATATTGAGGATGAGACAAATCTAGAATACTACAGGGAAACGGGATCAGAGGGGGACACCATCAAATATATCAGGAGAGAAAATAATTAATGTGATTAGTAAATTGATTAAATTTATCTAAAAAATTAATTTAAGATTAGTAGGAACAATAATTCATTTATTTTGCCTGTATGTGCAAATACTGTATGGATCTTGTTCAAATAAAATTTTTAATTTTTAATCTAAATTATATTAAAGTTCGCATTTATAAAACTTTGCAATATCTATATACCTAAAAGAAGTGTAAAAACGATCGTTACCACACGTTCGGTTTTGCATCGTTTTAGGCTCGTTTATTGCATATCATCTTCTGGCAGGGTCAAATTTTTCATATAAACTTCTACCAGGGTCAAATTTTGCATATAATCTTCTGCCAGGGTCAAATTTTGCATATAAACTTCTGCCAGGGTCAAATTTTGCATATAATCTTCTGCCAGGGTCAAATTTTGCATATATACTTCTGCCAGGGTCAAATTTTGCATATAATCTTCTGCCAGGGTCAAATTTTGCATATAAACTTCTACCAGGGTAAAATTTTGCATGTAATCTTCTGCCAGGGTCAAATTTTGCATATAAACTTCTGCCAGGGTAAAATTTTGCATATAATCTTCTGCCAGGGTAAAATTTTGACATAGTAAAATAATAGCTAGAGTTTAGAAAATATTTGCTTATCTTACACTAGTTTTCACACTGAAAGGCATATGGGCAAAACACTCCGAACAAACGAACCAACTGAAGGCACAAAAACAATAGTTTTTTTCGACATTAATTGTAAGCTTTTAAAATGCGATAAATGATATCACAATTGAAAAAGTTACCAAATTCATTTAACCTTTACTAATGTTGAGTAATTATTTCTGATCTGAACCAGGAAGGATGAATTGGAAAGTATCCGTGAACAGGCAAGGATTGGTCTGGGTAATCTCACAAAGGAGGTTCAAGGAAGGGAGGGTAGAACCCTGCCATTGATCGGAGGTACTGGATGTAACAAAACATCAAAAAGAGTGACTACTTTTAAATTCTGGCATTTGCAAAAACAAGTAGTCTGTTTTGCAGCATCAAAAGTAACAGAGATATGACAAATTCAGGCTGTTAAACACAACAAAACTTGTCAAAAATTTACAAAACAAAATTACATTTTCAAAAATTACAAAATATTTTACAATCATCTATGTATACTTTGCTAGTCTGGTTGTCTTTTTGTTTGTATCCAATGAACGTCAAAACGGCTAAACCGATCTGGCCCAAATTTTTTGTGGGACCTCATGTTTATAATTCATGTCTAGTTTATAATAAAAGATTAGCTGAAGTGCCCAGCGTTGCCCGTGGAATTGTTTTTAGCTTATGTCACCCCGGAGTACTCAAGGGTTCCTACAGAAAATGCTAGCAAATTTGGTTAGCTGTTTAGCCAGCTTTACGACCGGGGGAAGGCAGGCAGCCATAAACCACAACCGTTCAGTCTTCCATGCCACAACAATTGAGTCATCCGGCAATTGTCACGTTTTAAATGATAAATTTAGTGCATTAAAATTGCGATTTTTAACAATCCAGTAACATCATGCAAAAGATATATATAAGACTTTTATATTTAAGTTTTAAATTAAAATAATGATGATTCCTTTAAATGTTAACTGCCAAGCTTATTTTTCCTTAAAAATAAAATACATGTTTCCTCTCAAATGGGTTATTTTTGAAAACATTGTGAACGACAAAAATGTTGCACCATAACATCTCTGGTACAATTCGATATTAATGGTGAAAAAATATTCCTTGTAAAATGTAGAGCAGTTTATCAACACAAAACACAATTCATCATTCTTTAATAAACTTTTAAAATTTCAGGTGTACTGATCGGGCTTCAGTGCTTTACCTTTCACTGTCAAGCAGGAATTCAACATTAACCCCAGAAGAGTCTGTTTTCATGTCTTTTGCTTTACCGGAAAAATTAAATAATATTTTTTTTTAATCTAAGTGTTCCCCTGTCATAAACAAATATTTTTGTTTCTTCTTAAATTATAGTTAAGTTGGTTCACATGCTTGAACAAAAGAAGGATCAGATCAAGGTTGGTAAATGACGTCTTCTTTGCAATGGACACTCTAAATCCTCATATGGCATCACTGATACTTAACTAACAATCATCACATTTAACAAATATTGATTGTGCTAACGAGTTTGTAGCTAAAAAATGAAATTCTAATTCAAGTTTTTAATATTTTAATTCGTTGATATTTAGTGAGCCGCAAAACAAATTATTTTTTAAATAAGCAGTGACGTCATATGAGGATTTAGACTCCGTTAGAGTGTCCATCACTATAAAGGTCGTATTTATCTACATTGGAGAGCATCCAGAGTATTTAACCTTTCTATAACCTTGGATGAGATTAACAAGTATAAAACAGTTTACTAAAAATGCAAGTTTCATAACAAAAATAATGTGACTTTCATTATACCTATTTCTACAATTATGGCTGAATGTTGATTGTTGATATATTTACAACAGATATAAAGAAGTCCCAGTTTTGCTGTGCAAGGAGTCAAAATGTACACTGTTGCATTATTTACAGGTCAACCTGTTAATATTTGGTTTAAACACAATGCGTCCCAGTCAAAATGTGCACTGTTGTGTTATCTACAGGTCAACCTGTTAATATTTGGGTTAAACAAAGTGCGTCCCAGTCAAAATATACATTGTTGTATTATCTACAGGTCAACCTGTTAATTTTTGGGTTTAACACAGTGCGTCCTACTAAAAATATACGTTGTTGTATTATCTACAGGTCAACCTGTTAATATTTGGGTTAAACACAGTGCATCCTACTAAAATGATACATTGTTGTATTATCTACAGGTCAACCTGTTAATATTTGGGTTTAACACAGTGCGTCCTACTAAAAATATACATTGTTGTATTATCTACAGGTCAACCTGACATATTTGGGTTAAACACAGTGCGTCCCAGTCAAAATATACATTGTTGTATTATCTACAGGTCAACCTGTTGATATTTGGGTTTAACACAGTGCGTCCTACTAAAAATATACATTGTTGTATTATCTACAGGTCAACCTGTTAATATTTGGGTTAAACACAGTGCGGCCCAGTCAAAGTGTACACTGTTGCATCATCTACAGGTCAACCTGTTAATATTTGGGTTAAACACAGTGTGTCCCACTCAAAATGGAACTGTTGCATTATCTACAGCCCAACCTGTTAATATTTGGTTTATTACAGAGCGTCCCACTAAATATGAAACATGGAATACAATTTCTAAATTGACTTTGATCTTTAACTTCTAATTAATGACAAAATGTGTGTTACAAAAAAACATTGTACAACAATTTGTTTACCTTTTTGTATTCTTGAAGAGAATGCATTTAGAAATTTATCTTAATAAGACGACATATCATTCTACATCATATTTTGTGGGACACACTGCAAATAATGAAAAAAAAACTTCAAGTGGCGAATCTAAAATACATGATTTTAGAAGAAAAAGATACAATTAATGTCATCTGAGTGTTATCTGTTTTAAATCTAGAACAATAGTCCTTGTAAATCAATATATTTTAGAACAATATAATTGAAACTATTATAATGTCTAATATTTCAGGCAGCAATATCTGGCCTTGCTGAATACTCCCTTTCTACCAGGGATTTCTGACCCAGCTTTTAAACCTACAAATAGGCCGCCATACCCTCACTACTATCCAGATCATGATGATCACCACCATGATTATGATGATCATCATTTTGATGGGGGTTGTCAGGATTCCAACTGCTACAACAATCCGACATTACGACCTCCGTATGAACCAAGACCTCCATATACCCCTCGACCTCCCTACAACCCTCCTTCCTCCTTCTATCCTGCTAATAATCCATCTTCCAACTCCTATGACCCTAATTCATTTGTTGACTGGAATACTAGGTAACCATGTAATATATAACATCTTACAGTTTAACCCAGAACTTGGAAGACATCAAAAGAATTTATAAAATGTCGTCTTGACAATGTTTTATTTTTTTATATTACACTTACTTATAATAATTGTAAAACCATATAATTAAATAGCTATGGAACATACGGGAACTATAATTATTCATTTTTTTAAACTAAATATCTGCAGCATTCGACTGTCAGTAGGTTTAAAAACAACATTTTATAAATTCTTTCGATTGCTCGACTATTAAATTAAACTGTAGTATAATCTTAGAAGATTTGAAGATGGGGGGGGGGGAGTAGGACTGGATGAGTTCCTGTTTTTTTAATCGTTCGTTCCTCGTCCTAGAACGTGGACCTTCCGCTAGATTGTTCGCTCTTTTTTAATCGTTCCGTCCCCGTTCAGTTCCGTTCTTTATGTTCTTGATCAAGAACGGTTCCAAGGAACAGGTAGAATGGGTCTAGGGGGGACTGAGTTGGGGAGGGGTTGGGTCAAGGGAGGTTACACAACCATTGGTCAACCCCACCAAACTGACAGAATTTACAATTATAAAGATAAAATAAAACTCTACAATTTTCACCCATTTTAATTATTTCTTCGTTCGTTCCATGTTCGATATTTTATAGATTGTTCCAATATTTTTAAGAACGCATTCTATTGTTCTATGTGTTCGTTCTTTTTTTGTTGGAACAACGGGATTGTTCTTGATAGTTCCGTTCGTTTCCGTTAAAGAACGATCGTTCCCTGAGAACGACGCCAAGCCCTAAGAAAACATATATTACTATATAATTTAGGATGAAGGCTGGCTACTGCCCAAGAGAAGACTATTTGGGTGAGGGACGGAGCATCAGCAATTGGTTTCTCAGTATCCCCAACTCAGTCCCATTAGGCAATCTTTTATTCTAGTTTTTTAACAAAAGAAAAGGAAAAAAACCAATAAATTTTATAAAATTGACTTAATCTTTTTAGTTCCTGGAAGACAATTTGAAGATGTCTACAAAACCTGTCGGGATGATTTTGACTGTTTAGGAAGACAAAAATGTTGTCCATCCAGATTATCCTACAGTGATACATCTAGTATTTGCAGGTTTGCATGATTATTGATTAAAGAGATGATTGAGAACGAAGAGCACAGGTTCAATACAAGTTTAACTATGCAAATGTGTTAGCAGTTTTGATGACTGTTGAAAAATCAAGATTAAAATTTAAAATTGTATTTTTCTTCCTTCACATTTTTGACGCAACCGTAACTTATCAATTAGTTGCCTTCTTATATGTTGAATTTTTGTACTAGTGGAAACACACAAAACGATTAAAAAATAGATGAAATATTTAAAAATGTGTGAATCAATCCACCAACTGTACAAAGTACAAAGTGGACACAACAAAAACAAAAATCAAACAAAATGTAAGTTTGGTTTGTAGAAAGGTTTTAACAGATGGGTTTATTTAGATATCCTCAGCAGTATTTGGGATACAGAGCTAGAAAAGAAGATATCACCATCTAAACAAAACATGAAGATGCCTTAACATGGATATCTAAGAAACTGCTTTCACTTTTGATGTTATTTTTATCTCCCGTTCAACGAAATAGCTGATCTTAATTCATAGAGTAACTTGAATTAACTGTTATTAAGAACGTTTTATCAAATAGCTATCAGAAGATAGTAAACAGGAGATTTAACGATAAATTACTACTTAAAAAGGGACTGTAAAGGAAAAATGAAAGGGGGTATTGGCTGAAACCTGAGCATTTCAGGCGTTGATTGACACCTATAAGAGTTCTATCTGTCTCAAAAAATTAATATAAAATCAAAATTATACCAAAACTTGTATATGTAAGATTTAGTATAAGATTCTAAGTTTTAAAAAGATCATATTCAGAAAATACGCAACCAATCTGAAAACTACGATATCCCAGAGGAGCCTGAAAAACTAAGGTTTGCTCCTATTGTTATTTAAATTTAATATTTTTTCCGTATCACGTGACCAGAACTCCAACCAATGGCAGTGTTGTATTATTGTCACATGTCTCCGTCTGCATCACGTGACCCTTTAATTTTTCCTTTACAATCTCTTTAACCTGGGAGCTTAAATTAGATAAATTAGAAGGAACATCCCGATTAAGAAATAATTAATAGTTCAAAAATATTCTACAAATAGAATTCTAACTAAATCTAAACCAGCAAGTAGAATGAACTATTCATGGTCCATAACTGTGTGGAATGAGTTGAAAATATAACAGATTTCATAACATTCCTAAAAGTTCCATTCAAAAGGACGGACCGGCTATGTAAGGTAGTTGAACTGAGTATGCAGTGTTGTGGAAAGCTTCTTAGGATTCATTTGAGACATATAGAACTTTTTAAAGATCTGTAATTCCTGAGTTTAAGCGCAAATTCGACGTTCAACACTCCTACTTTTGGGGTGCATACGTTTTCAGAATTAGTTTTTTTAAAAGGTCTGTCCCTTTAAAATAAAAATTGGATAATTTAAAATTCAGAATATCTTTATCTAGTCAGAAGTTGCATATAATGAAAGAATCAGATTATAGAATTTGAAAATTGAAAGAAAAAAAATTTGTTGGGCATTTATTATGATTTGTATCTAGTAATTTTTAACAAACTACATTGTAAAAACTATTTCATAATATTGAATCTAAATTATATTAACAACATTATGCATCTTTAAACTATTAATTCTTACATTTTCTAAAATAAATATTTAATGTTTGGCAATTGTTTTATTTGAAAAACAGTGTAAAACATGTTACCTATACGTTTTCATAAGAACAGGTTTCTAAAACCAATACGTCTTTAGAAGAACAGGTTTCTAAAACCCAATATTCCTTCAGATGAACAGGTTTATAAAAACCAATATTCCTTCAGAAAAACAGGTTTCTAAAAACCAATATTCGTTCAGAAGAAAAGGTTTCTAAAGTCCAATACGTCTTCAGAAGAACAGGTTTCTAAAGACCAATATGTCTTCAGAAGAACAGGTTTCTAAAAACCAATACGTCTTTAGAAGAATAGGTTTCTAACGACCAATGTCTTTAGAAGTCAAGGTTTCTTTAGACCAATATTCCTTCAGAAGAACAGGTTTCTTAAGAAAAATATTCCTTTATAAGAAGAGGTTCTAAAAACAAATATTCCTTTTAAAGAAAAAGGTTTCCAATATTCCTTTAGAAGAACAGGTAGCTGATGAGAAGAGCAGTACTAGAGAGGGTCAAGACAGAAACAGTTGTATTCTAAAAAAAATCTAGTTTTAGAAAACTCGGAGAATAAAATGATACTAAACATACTAATCATGATGCAATCTTCTATATATATATAAGTTGTTCGATACCAATGCAAATAAAAAGAAGCTTTTTCGTGTATTAGATAATAATAAAAATATGAGATTTAACAAGTTGTAATTTGCTTAGTATGTGATTTAATGACGTTACATATTTTCACTACAAATTACAGAATTTATCAAATCTCGGAAGATGACATGACATTTTCTCCTTATCAAGAAATAATTATGTTTCCTGGAACTACGTTCAATGTATCAAAAACTTGAAAAAGTATTTTAGAAAAGATACCTTAAGTGAAAACTTCATTTTTCGTGGACCACAGAGTTCCGCAGATCGTTCCTGATTAATTGATCGATTTGATCACAGAAGAATTTAGGAAGTAAGCAATATCATTGAAGACTTTTTTAACAATAACTAAGAACTTTATCAGTGAGACGGTCATTGTAAGAGCTAGAATCTAAAATATTTATTTGAAAGTTAAACTGTCAAAATTGATGTTTCAATGAATTTTTTAAGCAACAAATCTGTTACAAATAGCGAAACAAATAGCAACAACTCACATTTAAAAGAGATAAAGAAGACTACAATTATTCTTCACAAATATAAAAATGTTCATCTTACCTCTAGAATAACCAGGAAATACTTTAAATCGTTCAACTCGTCTTCCAGTTTTTCTCTAATAAAAATCAAATTTGTAAAAATCCACTTTTTCTCTAAAATTAATCAAATATTTGAAAATCCAGGTTTTCTCTAATGACCAAACAAATCAAATTATGATTAAAAAAAGAAAAATAGAAATCTTAAAATGCAGATGTTTAAGATTTATCACTTTTATAAATATCAACCCTCGACATAAATGTGCATACACAGGAATTTTGTCCTGACCCCACGTTAAAATCTCTTCTCAATCTGAACCTACCTTTCGTCATCTGTCAGTTTGAGCTTATCCAGGTTTTCTTCGATCTTCTCTATTCGGTAGATTTGCTTCTCTATTGCATCTTTAATTTCACCAACCTGCTTGATAAAAGAAAAATTAAAAGATTTCTTACACAAGATATCTGCAAATACATTATGGCCAAGAATGATGCAATTTTGAAAGAAATATCTCTCAACTTAAAAAAAATCTAATAACACAAAATATATATTCCTGTACAATATAAATAATACATATCACAACACATAACAAATTAAACAAATCATTCTTAGTTAATTCTCTCAATTCTCTGCCTTTAGCACAGATTCGTACATTTATCAAATGCAGTAAAAAATAACTATTATTTTCTTGGTTTATAATTTCAATTTGTAAAGGGGTATGTGGACGTTGTATTTTACGTGGAATAAACAATTAATTGGAAAACAAATATAATCAACAAATCATTAAAAGAAAAAGGTAATAAAGAACAACATTATTCCGGTTTTATGAAATCAACCAAAAGGATTGAGCCTGCCGATCTGACCCATGATCGAAGCCCAGACTCCTTCTTCTCTGGACTGTGTTAGAACTTCTCCTTCAACTCCAACCTTAATCCAGGACTCTACTCCAGGCTCAGTTTTAACCCTGCAGTAATACTTACAATACGCTTAGTGTCTATTGGTAAATGATTTAATTTTCTTATAGAATATAAATAAGTACAGAACTTTGAGCAGTGAACTTGGGACCAAATTTCATTAAAATTTAAAAGCGATACATGGTTCAACCCATCAACCTTCACCTAGAACCCTCCAAGAGGAGTGGTTGAACTAAATCTGAGCAGTTAATCTACTTATCTCTTTACATTAAATTAAAGGAATTTTTCAAGAACCTACACCCAGAACGACATGAGCTGCCGACCATTGAAGTCAAACAAAAAGTTTCAAATTATTAAATCCTCACTCCTCAGTGGCAATTCTAAATAAAAAGAAAGAACTAAGAAGATAACTATTCCACCATTACTATAAGATAATTAGGAGTACTGTAAATATAATTTCAAGTCACCCTTCACGCAAAGATGGCAATGCCTGATTTATAATAGTGTTGTCTGATCAAGTATGAATGAGATATCCATGTTTTTGTGTCTTTAAACTGTTAATTTTCGATTGCAGTTTCTCTGCGAAAGTCAATTGCGCATTTCTTCCTTATAATAAACAATGGAGAAATTCACAGAAATAAACACTTTTCTAGTCAGAAAACGACATTATATTTCAAATTTTTGATCATATTAAGGTTTTAATGGTAAAATAGTAAATCGGGCATTGCTATCTAATGAAATTACGCTTACAGTACCATTAATGACATTAAAAAAATCTTGGTAATTGGGAAATTCTTTAAAAATTAGCAAATGCGGGAAAATTTTCTTTTGCTTTTCCCGAATATCATTCACTTTTTAAAGTAAATTTTTTTTACATTTTTGTGTTGATTTTTTACCTTATTATTAGAGAGTTTTTGTCCTTTATAAATTCATATTCAAGATCCTCTGAAGCCAGGATAGAAGGATTGTCACCCATTCGATCAGGTATATACAGTTCAGATACACCATCTAGACAGATTATTTACAGTTCAGATATAGTTCAGATACACCATCTATACAGATTATATACAGTTCAGATACATCTAGATAGATTATTTACAGTTCAGATATAGTTCAGATACACCATCTATACAGATTATATACAGTTCAGATACACCATCTAGACAGATTATATACAGTTCAGATACACCATCTAGACAGATTAAATACAGTTCAGATAAACCATCTAGACAGATTATATACAGTTCAGATAAACCATCTATAGAGATTATATACATTTCAGATACAGTTCAGATACACCATCTATACAGATTATATACAGATTATATACAGTTCAGATACACCATCTAGACAGATTATATACATTTCAGATACAGTTCAGATACACCATCTATACAGATTATATACAGATTATCTACAGTTCAGATACACCATCTAGACAGATTAAATACAGTTCAGATACACCATCTAGACAGATTATATGCAGTTCAGATACACCATCTAGATAGATTATTTACAGTTCAGATATAGTTCAGATACACCATCTATACAGATTATATACAGTTCAGATACACCATCTAGACAGATTATATGCAGTTCAGATATAGTTCAGATACATCATATATACAGATTTGATACAGTTTAGATTCAGATTATATGCAGTATGCATGTACTTTCAGCAAGTTTTTTAAGCAAACTTTTTGTTTTTTGTTTTGTTTTCCTGACTGCATCATTTTTTTGTTGCATTTTTTACATTAGGACAAGCAGGCAGTAAAAGTAGAAGGCAAAAGAAAGGCCCCAAATTAAAAAAAAGAAAACAAGGTCCTATAGCTCAAGCAAGCTCTGAAAGAAACTCACAAGCCCAGAATAATTTAAAATTAATTTTAAGAACCCTCATTTTCAATATCTTAATTTTAAAAAATACAATTTTTTGTTATAATTTCAGCTTTTTTCATTCTTGCCTAATTTATTGAGTTAAAAAATGGATTGAAATATATTTCGAAAAAGACCAAAATTAAAAAGGTAGATATTCCTTCAATTGGCAAAATTACAAGGTAGGGTTTGCATGATTATTTTACCTCAGTTGTCTGTCCTTTAATATAATTAAAATATTTAAATTACTGAAAGTGAATTGAAATTAAAGGAGCTAGATTAGACAATAATTTAAAAATAGGGGATGTGTTATTATTTGAAAAGTAATTTAATATTTAGTTTAGTTTCTGGTATTAAATAGTTGATCTATCTATCTATCAAGTTCCCGGTGAATAATTCTTGTTATTGTCACCTACTTCGTTGAATAATCATAATTATTACACAAAATGGGTGGCAATAATAAGAATTATTGATGATTTGGCTATGTAGTAAATAAAAAAAAATGGTAAATTCGATAAGAATGTGGTATAAGAAGTAATTAATAGTTAAGACAGTGTGCAAATGCAAAAGATAATATTAAAAATGGAAAAAAGACATATACCTAAATGAATTAAGTGTTTGCCACAAACTATGATTAAAAATATAAAGGGTTTACACCATCAGATTGGAAAGATATAGAGATTAGAAAATTGGAGTTTGTGCAAAGACTCAGTTCCTTTCAGCAAAGAAGACCATGGTTTATTAAAATATTTTCACCTTTAAATGCTACAAATTTTATATCAAACGTCTTCTTCTCCACATCAAAACTAAACTTGACATTAGTTCCAGCTAGCTGCCTAGGATAGGGTCTACTCATACCTACACATCATAAAATATAATAGGATTTATTTCACATCTTTATCAGATAGAAAATATTCACTTATATTTCTATCTGTTTAAGCTAATAGCTTAACACTAAAGAAATGTTTTTTTTTCATATTTTCCTTCCTTTTGTTTTCGCAAGAAGTTATCCACAGTAATATCTTTAATTCAGCACGATGAACATGCCAAATAAGCACATAAGCTTTAATCAACTCGGAACACTTCAAATCTAAAACTATATCGACGTCGCTTGTGCTATTTATCAGCGTATCTGTAGGTGTTATCCAACTCGTCATTTACAATTCCTGTAGAATTTATTTGTTGTTTGTTTGTTTATTTTGGTATTTGTTTGCTTGTTTGTTTATTTACCTTTTACAATATTTTGAATAGGTTTCCCCTGAGAATCCCAGAGTATTTCGTCATCACTGGTATCCCAATATGTCCTGAATCAAAACTAAATAAAAAATGTGATTTACGAATTTATGCAGCAGAGACACAGAATAAAAGAAAAAAAATTACGCGATATATTCCTCATTGTTGAACAGATAAAGATTGTAAAGATTGTAAAGAATGCCAACTTGCAAAGCCCTGTTTAAGACTAATAATAAAACAACAAATTAGAGAACTGATAAAATGCAGAAAAAGAATTGAGCCTTTGCGCCGCAAACTCAAGTTTTCTAATCCCTATATCTTTGCCACCTGATGGTGTTAACCGTTAGTATTTCCAACTTAAATTATTTGATCTAAAAGTATTTATAGTTTGAAATATCTAAGGTCTATGAAATTGCGTTGCAAAAAAATTTAGGATTAGAAAATCAATTCCTTTGAATATTACCAGGATATACTGTTCTCATCTGCCTTAGAGAATACATAGTTACATTCCTGGGTTCCGCAATGATCTGGCCTAGACAACAAAACTTTAAAATATTAAATATTAAAATTCTGAGAAAAATGTTGAGAAACAAACGAGAATTGAAATAATAATAATGTTTAAATTTTGACTTTTTATTGTGCGATAAAAGTTTTGTATGGTTTGTAGTTGTAGTCTTTTAAGGATGTTTAAAATGAAAAAATTAACCTTCCTAATGATCTATTATTTTAATATTACTTCGGCTGACCGATTTAAAAGAAAAAAATTGAATATTTTGCTGCGAATTGGTAATCATTACAAAAAAAATCATATTGTCGGTCAGGGCAGGCAGGGTTGTTATCATCAGGTCTGCATTTGTTTTGATTCGATGTTTCCGTTCAGAGAATGTTGTATATACAGGTTAACATGAAACCCCGGTTAACCCCTACCTATCCAAATCAGGTTTACATAATCCAAATTCTGAAAGGAATTGACCTCCACCGATCTCTTCTATCTCATTTTTCACTCCGCTAAAACAAAACAGATTTTTATTTATAATTTGGGGTTTCTACATAAAGTTATAATTCTTTTGAAAACTCTTTATTCAAATTTTACAAAACATTCATAAATATTCCGTTGGTTTGATAAGGTTAGAAAAAGTAAAAAAAAAAGACTTTTAATGTGAAAGGAGGAAATCAGAAATTGTAGGCATTGTAAAGATGGCGTATTTCCTGTGGCCTGATCCCCCCAAAAATACAATGATAAAGTTATAAAAAAAACTTTAATTTACAGGGTGTCCCAATAAACATGGGAATTAAAAGACGACTTGAAGGTCGTCTTTGAACTCTGGCAGAGACAAAAAAGAGGTTTATACGTCTGACGAGCTTTTCAAAAAGGGGTTTTTCTTTCTTGTAACTTAAAAATTGAAGAAGATATTAGATATTAAGACAAATAGATTTATAAAACAAATTGAAATTTGTATACAAATTTTGCAATATCTCCGTCAATTTTGAAAATACAAAAATGTTAGATCACATTTTGAAAATCTCAAGACCAGGCGTTTTCGATATTAGATGTCTAAGCTGGAATACTGCTTTAAATCTGTTCATATAAAAATGCCGCATGGATCGAAGATGATATAAATGTCGTCACTGAATTCCCTTGTTTATTGGGACACCCTGTATCATGATTTTTGAATAGCTACCTGAAAACCATTGGGCCAAAAATATCTCTTGCCACCTTTGTTGTGATATAATCATAGTTCTCTTTTTGGTAAACAAACAAAGGAAAGTAGTAATGCCTGAAAAATGATAAGGAAAGAAAAAACCTAAAATATTTTTAAAATCATTTAAATGAAAGGTTGGCATTTGGTAACCTCTAAAACAGAAATTTCATGAACACTGAGTCCAAGACATTTTATTGGCATAATGTCAAAAAAAATTTCAAACATTTCTTTTTAATTATTAGATAATAGAAAGTTACCAGGACATGACCAATTTGTGTTTAATCTCCTGGTCAAATGAGCTCTCCTGTATTCCTGACCCAAATATAGATTCAACTGAACTAGAGGTCAGGTTCTCTCCAGATATACAGTCGGTCAACTCAGACCTTGGAAAGATACTGTCATTGTCAACTAACAAGGATAATCCTTTAAAACGTTCGACTTAACTGAAAGCTTGTTATTTATAAAAAGCATAAATGAATAGAGTTAGTTTTTTAATTTTTCCATTTTTTTACCTTCCATTAGTTCTTCCGCTTCTTTTTAATCCATGACAAAACTCAGTATCATCATCTGATATACTTAAATCTAAGGCACCACAAGCCCTGAATATATTTATCTTAAGGAGCCTGCTATTAAAAAACTTTACTTAAATTATATAAACCCTGGTTTAATGCTCCTTCTTATACCGGACATCAGAAGCTGATATCACGTGATCGACAGATGCCAGCCCTTAGACTCGACTTAAGGAGTTAGGCCTGATGAAACCGACCTGGATTTTTTTTAGTTGAGATTTTGTCTGAAAATTGGGCCGTATTCTAATGAAATCCTAAAATTTACCATTTGTAAAATTCGTAATTTTGAACGCACACTGAAGCCGGTTAAAGCAGGATATCTGTTTACTTCCAACCAACCTGGATATACTTTGAAGCCCGGTTAAAGCAGGATATCTGTTTACTTCCAACCAATCTGAATATACTCTGTCACCAGGTTGAAGCTGGATATCTGTTTACTACCAATCCACCTGGATTTACCCTGAAGCTAGGTTCAATAGGATATCTGTTTACTACCAATCCACCTGAATATACACTGGAGCCAGGTTCAATAGGATATCTGTTTACTACCAATCCACCTGGATATACACTGGAGCCAGGTTCAATAGGATATCTGTTTACTACCAATCCACCTGGACATACACTGGAGCCAGGTTTATGCTGAATATCTGTTTACTCGAAACCCAGCCAGATATACCCTGAAGCCAGGTTAGAGCAGGATATCTCTTTTCTACCAACCTATCTGGATACAGCCTGGTCCCTTAAGCAAGGTTGAAGCTGGATATCTGTTTACTCCCAACCTACCTGGATATACCCTAAAGCCAGGTTAAAGCTGGATATCTGTTTTCTAACAACCTACCTAGATACACCCAGGAGCCAGGTTAAAGCAGTATATTTGACCCACCTGGATATACCCTGAAGCCATGTTAAAGTAGGATATCTGTTGAATACTCTTGCTACGAAGTTGTTTACTAAAGGAACCTTAAAACAAAAATACTTCTTGATATTTGAAGATTACATTTATTTGAACTAAATCCAAAACTTAAATATTATAGAGGCAAAATTTATAATTGACCAGATTTACATTTTGAGAATAGTTGTTTAGGAAGAAAAAAAGAAATCAATGATAGAATCAATCTTTGAGAATTCTAAAGATCGATTTTGCTCCCTTAGTCAACAATTCTACCCTTTAAAAACGTCCTGTTCGTATCAAATGAATCCTATTTTTCTCTATAATATTGCACTCTCAGCTCAACTACCATATTTAGCCGGTCACTCCCTTAATAGAGAGGTTTCTAAATCCAATTAGAACAAACCATCCCTAAACAGGTACTTTACTTGTACCAGACTTTGGTTAAATTCAATTCATAAGTTTTTTTTCAATTGATTGTAAAAGACCAAGCAGCTGCATTGAAGACTAAGCACTGCAGTTGGGATAAGCACCAGGACAGAAAATTAAATAAATTACCTTAATCTGAGGACCAAAATGTGACCAGGAAACAGGTTCCCAAAATAGCAAGGTTTTCTGATCTACCTCCCTTATAGAAGATATAACCTAGAGACAACAATACGCTGATTAATCAGTTCCTTGTTCTTGTAAATATTTTCAGTATGCGTGCGTGGACCCTTTTTTTTAAAAAAAGAAGATATTTTTCAATCTTAAATTCAGGATAAAGATTTGTTGAAAAAAAAGTTTCAATTATTATATATTTAATTTATTTTCCTTTTTAATGTTATAAAGTCACCTTATTATAAAAAGGTGTTAAGACCTTTCTGCCCGCCTCAGCTGGCATTAAAAGACTTCCGTCCTAAAATAAAACATGAAAAATTTTTAGTCTTTTCCAATCTCTTCCTTCTCTCTTTACAAAGTAAATACACCCAACAGGGGTTTCCAATTTCTTAAGACAGTTTTCTGGTGCTAAAAATAAATGTTAGATAAATAAAACTAACTTTCTACATTTTTACCTTATATATGTTGCCAGGCCAAGGTTCATTAAGAAGATCATATCCAATTATATTCTATTCAGTTTTACAAAATAATTCAGAGATATAAAAAACTTTTATTTGGAATTTAGAAATTAATATAATTAAGTGATAGATATCGCCAAAAATTCATAGTTTTCAGAATCCAAGATCTAAATTATGTCATTCCTTATGCTTTTTCAACCGGTTTGCAACATGTTTCCAGAAATTTGCAAATTTATCAACTGAAAAAAAAGTTTGAATTAGATATTAGTAACAGTGGGGGGGGGGGGGCTAGGGGAAAGGGATTTGCCGAGTTGGAAACATGAAAACATTATGAAAGATTCATAAAACTATTCTTCATAACATACATACCTGCATTATAATGGTTTTGGAAGAATCTATGATAAACCTCCCCAGCCTCATAGGTTACATAACCACAAAACCAGTTTTCTACCTGGCACTCTAATCAATTAATAAATACTAAACAAAACCAGTTTTCTACCTGGCACTCTAATCAATTACTAAATACTAAACAAAACCAGTTTTCGACCTGGCACTCTAATCAATTAATCAATTACTAAACAAACTAGTTTTCTACCCTGCACTTTAATCAATTAATAAATACTAAACAAACCCAGTTTTCTACATAACATTCTTATCTATTAATCAATACTAAACAAACCCAGTTTTCTACTTACCACTCTAATCTATTTATCAATACTAAACAAACCCAGTTTTCTACATAACATTCTAATATATTAATCAATACTAAATAAACCCAGTTTTCCACCTGCCACTCTAATCTATTAATCAATACTAAACAAATTCAGTTTTCTACATAACATTCTAATCCATTAATCAATACTAGACAAACCCAATTTTCTACATAACATTCTAATCTATTAATCAATACTAAACAAAACCAATTTTCTACATAATATTCTAATCTATTAATCAGTACTAAACAAACCCAGTTTTCTGCATAACATTCTAATCAATTAATCAATACTAAACAAACCCAGTTTTCTACATAATATTCTAATCTATTAATCAATACTAAACAAACCCAGTTTTCTACATAACATTCTAATCAATTAATCAATACTAAACAAAACCAGTTTTCTACATAACATTCTAATTTATTAATCAATACTAAACAAAACCAGTTTTCTACATAATATTCTAATCTATTAATCAATACTAAACAAACCCAGTTTTCTACATAACATTCTAATCTATTAATCAGTACTAAACAAACCCGATTTTCTACCTCGTACATTTAAATCACTACTAAACAAATCCAAAACTAATCAGAATGCCACCTTTGCCAGAGGCCAAGGAAATTTTCTTTCTACTCCTTCCCTGATCAATATAATCATGTTGAAATATCTAATATAGTTTGAAGTTGTTTTGAATTGAAAATTATTAGAATTATCGTAAATATTTTATTTTATACTGAAAATGTTTAAAGTAAATTTAATCTTATTTAATATTGAAATCAAAGAAAAAAAACCTTAGTTGATCAACAAGCCAGCTAGGAAATCCATCATAAGTTCCAAATTCCTCAGATGCAACATCCTAATAAAAAAAAAACAATACCACATAGATTTTATCTCCTCCATCATTAAATGTAACGTCCTAAAGAAAAGCCTGAATCCTAAACAAAATCACAGAAAACACAGAAAACCTTTCTAAGAATCTTCATCCATCCATGATCAGACAGAACATACATAATTATTGGCTACAAACTACATATTGTCGAGAAAAGTATAAAATCTAACTTAAAAAATTTCTTTTCAAACTGTGAATTTTAGGGTAAAAGCTATTTATATTCTAAAACATGTTTTGTTTCATCTTGACAAGAAATGTTGTGGCATGGAATATCCGATTGTGACTCTTGGCTACTGGAAGCTAATTTCTGTTATAGAAGAGAAAATAAATGTGGCCCAAAGACTGCCTACCTCTGCTCTGTTTACTACGTTTTCATAAAAAAGTACCTGATGAGCATCTAGCAGGACCCAGACTCCATGCTTGGCAAAGTTCTCAATAATTATCTCCAGTTTATCCAGGTAGGTTTCATCATATACTCCCTATTACATCCCATATTGATATTATTGGTTTAACAACAGGTTTCAATGAAAACACAATAAAAATAAGTGACTGTAGTTTCAAATGACCTGAAATTATGTCTACACTTACAGTTCTTTAGTTAAATTGGTTTAGCTTAAAGTGGTTTAATATTAGTAGCTTATTTTAACTTGTGGGAAAGACCCGATCTGGCGCCTTTGAATTGATTCGTACGCAAATTTTATGAAGTTATGAACTAAATTAACAACTACAGTGGGTAAGAATTTTGAAAATAAAATCATTTCCTCAGTAGGTTCTACTCCAGACCACATGGTTCCCAGTCTCACTACATTTAATCCCCATTCACCTATACATAACAGGGTATATAGCACAGTGTACATTACATTGTACATTACAGTGTACATTTCAGTGTACATTACAGTGTACAATACAGTGTACATTACAGTGAACTTTAAAGTGTGCATTACAGTGTGCATTACAGTGTATATTACAGTAAACATTACAGTGTACAATACAGTGTACATTACAGTGTACATTAGTGTACATTACAGTGTAAATAACTTTTTTTCATAACCTACTGAAATAATATTTTTCATAACATTGTTCACAACACAGTGTACATGGCACATTGTACATGATCAGTATACAAAATAAGTAACCTATTGTAAATAATATTTTTCATAACAGTGTTTACAACACAGTGTACATGGCACAATGTACGTGGCACAGTGTACATGTCACATTGTACATGATCAGTATACAAAATAAGTGTACATATCAAAGTGTACACAACACAGTCGACAAAACACTGTGTCCATAGCAAAGTTTACATAACAATTGTACATAACACGCATACATGACACATATACATAACACATTTACATTACACATATACATAACACAGTGTACAATATATATATTATACAGTGTAAATAACACAATATTCATAATACAGAATACATGACACAAAACATGGTCATTGTGCAATGTGCACAATTTTTAGTATATTTTAAAAAAATGTACTAAGAATTTTGAAAATAAAACAATATTTTAAAAATTTTAGATGCTAATTTTATTGAATAAAAAATGTATCTGTTCTTACCCATATCTCGGGCATATTTTTCATCCAGAAGCTTCTCCGGATACCAGGGCGTTTTCTTAGTTACAAAATTTAATCCATGAAATACTCTTAAACAACCTCTGAAAAAAATACTCTTTAATGAGAATTGTTCTATATAAAGGTCTTTTTTGAAAGATTTATGAATATATGAAATAAGAAAAATTAATGATTGAGTTAAGTGCAAAAGATACAAATAAACTTTTTTAAAAATTAAAATATTCAATAATTTGTAATTCACCTTCTTATATTTCTTTATTCAGTTAAATATTTTTTCACTGATAAAGTTCGAACAAAATTCTTACTTTGAATCGACAATTTGATGAGTAGATTCGTCGATGTGAAGTTCGTCAAAAACCTCTAATTCCTTCGCTAGTCCGCTGTTCAACTTCAAACGGAATAAATTCAATGTTATAGATTAATGTTATATTTTACCTCAGAACTCAATTGCAGGATTGTTATTTAAAGGGGGCGTCGACGTTACTTTATCTACATTTTACGAGTCACATGCCCTTTAATATCTTATTTGAGTAACGATATGGAATAAATTACTTTCTATTTAAAAAAAGATAAATTTCGTCGATTTCCTTGCTTGCCTCGGCTGTATAAGAGAGCAATTAACTTAAATAGAGAATCTACGTTTGAGATATATCCTCTTTCAAATAGAAAAAATAATATCTCCGCCCCATTGTCTTGGATAAAGGTTCATCGGATACAAAATTGTTAATTGGTCATGTAACACATAAAATAGATGGTCATTAAAAAAATTACACCGGCGCCCAACAGTCAAAAACTTTTTAAAAAAATTTTGTTCTGAACAATTTTAAAAAATGACCATTTTATAATTACATGCAGCAAAAAAGCAAAAGAATGCATAATAATAATAACCTGAATTATTGCTAGGATAACAGGGCCCCAAACCCATTTTAGCATTGTACAACAACTGATGTCACGTTATGAGAGATGTTAAGGCTGGTGGATTTATTAATACTAAAACTTTAAAACAGCTTAACAAACATGTATAGCTCAGAAAAGTAGGGATCCATAATAGAAATGGANGGGGGGGAAGAGTTAAACCTAAATTAATAGCATCAAACATTTATGTGTGAAGAGAGGGGAAAAATATAATTTGGGGAAGAGGGGTTCTATAAAAAACATAGCCACCCCTGCAATAGAGAAAATGACGAGAAAAAACTTGTCTAGTCATGTGGTGGATCCCTTTATACTTATATTGTTATTGGATAATATTTAGGACAAAGATCAAAACCGTGACAAGAAAGTGCGATTAAGCGGCGTTGTGTCGCGACATTTTAATAATGATTTATTATACTTTACTTAACCCTGTTACGACGGGGGAGGGGGTATGTAGACAACTCGAAAAAAGTTTGAGAAAGAATTTTTGTTACCATCCATTTAAATAGTTACACGCCCGATATACACCGATACCATTTCCACCTATATATATGTATATATATATATATATATATATATATATATTTTCTGAACTGATAAATTTTCATTTGCGGCTTCTCAGTAGAAGGCACTTCGGTATTTATTCGGTGAAGACAATCAAGGATTTTGACAGAATTGATCTTTTTAAAGAAAGAAAACGATGATATCTTAATCGTTAATCAATTAAAGATCTAACAAGGGAAAGTTAAGAATCGGGCATTTGATGAACGTTAAGAATCTGGCATTTGATGAACGTCAAGAATCGGGCATTTGATGAACGCTCAAAATCGGGCATTTGATGAATGCTCAGAATCGGGCATTTGATGAACGCTAAGAATCGGGCATTTGATGAACGCTAAGAATCGGGCATTTGATGAATGCTAAGAATCAGGCATTTGATGAACGCTAAGAATCAGGCATTTGATGAATGTTAAGAATCAGGCATTTGATGAACACTAAGAACCGGGCATTTGATGAACGCTAAGAATCGGGAATTTGATGAACGCTCAGAATCAGGCATTTGATGAACGCTCAAAATCCGGCATTTGATGAACGCTCAGAATCGGGCATTTGATGAACGCTAAGAATCGGGCATTTGATTCTTTGAAAAATGGTCACTTTAAAGAGAATGTACATGCAGTCCCTTAAAAAGAAGTTTGGCACAGTCCAAGAGATTTATAAAAAAAACCAAAAACTACATTTATTGTTGTTAAAAAAATCACCAAATATTATTAACTGTCAATTAAAAATATACTCATGTGATTAAGATTCAAAAGGAAAATGAGAAATGATTCGACAATAATAATAACAGTTCATAATGTGTAGGGAGTGATAATTACTTGAATGAACGATTGCATGCTTAATTCATTCAATAATGCTGCAATCAAGACCTACCTGTTGTTATATGTTGTTCCGCGGACAAAGTGAACAATATAACTAACTTTCACGCTAGTATACAAGGTTTTAGAAATTGTAAGCATTCAAACTTTTTAGATACAAATAACTTTTCTAACTGCGGGTGCTTTCCTACTTTTCATGCAAAACACTAGAATTTACCTTAAAAAGTTTATTTGATGTCTTTTAAACATGAAAAATTTGTAACAAATAACCAACCAGTAACCACCGTAATGTATAAAGCATGCGTTTTCGGTGTAAAAACCTGTTCACTAAATAGTAAATGTGGACAATTTTTCAAGGAAGGTGGTGAACTTGTTTTTTTTTTTTTGATACAATTTGCATGTTTCAAAAGTCTATTTCCATTAATAAGAATTCTAAACATTGTCACAATTAGGAATTGAGTCTTTGCCACAAATTCAGTTTTTGTAAAACCTATATCTTTGCAACCTTATGATGTAAACTTTTGATATTTCAAACTTACATTATTTGATCTAATAGCGTTCATAGTTTGAAATATTAAAGGTCTACGACATTGGGTGGCAACGATATTGAAACTAATAAATCAGAGTTTGTGGCAAAAACTCAATTCCTTTATTAAAATTACTCAACTCAAGCCTTCTTCCAACATTTACTGATCTTAAGCAATTAGTTCACATTATATTTAATTTGAAATGAACGCCACTGATTCTACGTTCAAATCTAGTACAATGCACAATTCACAGTTCTCAAATATGATTTATCTGATTTACAGATCATTTAAAAAATATTAAAATTTCGAACTGATTTGTTCTGTACTATTGTAGACCGACAACTAAATAATAATTATTAATATGTAATACAACACTGCGTATGGTTATTATTCAATATGTTTCCTAGTTTGAAATATAGATCCATATTATTAATCATTATTATTTATTTTAACTGATGTGCAGAAAGTGAAAATAACGAGAATGAAGATTGAACGAATATTTTCAAGAATATCGTGATATGCAATTAGTTAAATTCAACATAATATAAATTCATGCAAAAAATGTTTTTCAGCAGTCCATCCAGCCTTATTGTATTTTATTATGTCATGCATTATTAGAATTTACAATGTTTAAAAGATGTGTAGAAAAAGTCAATAAAAATAGAGCTTTCTATAAAAGAGATTTTCTATTTTTATCAACGAATGTAAATTTAAATAACGTTACAAAATTGCATCATACTTGTGAATATTAAGCATATATACTAAACCTGGGTGGGTTGAATAGAACTGGTAGAAGACGACATTTTCCTGAAAAGTTGTAACTACATAATTACAATATATTCATGCTTATTTACACTACAAAACTGCTAACTTATTACTACAAAAATATACGAATAAAGCAAGATTAAGTGTGTAAAATTAAAGCTTACAGGCTAAGTCACTGTGCTTATTAGTTATTTTACATTAAGAAGTTTTTGAAACTATTTGATTAGTCCCGAAAATCGCAATTTTAAGGTATAAAAGATCTAGTAATTTGGGAAACCATGTATTAATAAATGATTATCAACTGTTATTAAAATATAAGATTCTTTAATGTACACTGATATAAAGTTGAAGAATCAATCATAAAGTTGTTTTTACAACTTAAAGTAAACTCTTAAATAATCTTTCAGGGGTAGGTTTTTTTTTATCTTTTCCAAACTATAAAAACTTTTTTTTTGTTTTGAAAATTAAAAATGTTAAACTACTGTTCTTTTACAATAATATAGTCGCATAAATTTCACTAGAAGGGGATCATTAATATATCGCACGGTTCCGGTTTGCCTCACAGTATGTAATTGTACTGTACAACCTGAAATGGGCCGGAATTTAAAGTGTAGTTCGTACATTGTACATCTCTATCCAATGACCGTTAACACTAGACATATTATAGAAAATCAAAATTTCATTATTAACCAAGAAAGTTTTGTTGAGAAAAGAATTTTCAATAATATTTTACTCCGGAGCTTTGCATGAAAGTTGAGAGATGACTTGAATATCGTCTTTAATTTGTATCAATAATTTGTTGCATTTAATTATTAACACTAATATTAGAAATTAGAATCAAAATTCTTGAATTATAATTACCGGAGATTTGAAAAACTTCGTTCAGGATTTGAAAAATTTTCAATTAAAATTTGAACGAAATTCTTTACATCTCCGATAATATTGATAGCACAAGAAAAGGCAGAACATATTAAGCAAATGCCAGGACTATGGGAGTCTTGTGATTAATATTTCAAGATTAAAATATGTCAAAGTAGATTGACAAATGAATGCAGTATAATATTTCAAAGATTTTAAGACATTATTTCAAAGATCAAAGACGATATTCAAACTCTTAGAGTTAACTGTCATGTTTCGTGGGACACCCTGTGTTTAAAAAATTTGGATTGATTCCTCCACTTTATAAATGTATTATTATTATTAATAAATGCATGCACTAAGAACTAATTACAAATTAGGGATACATTTAACAATTACATGCAACTTTAGAACAGATTTACAATATTTTGCTTTCATTTTGTTAAGCTGATATCAGATCTATTCCGATAATAATACTTAAGTATTTTCCATCACCAAAGCATGCATCCCAAACCAGAATAAAGCAAGATAGTTAGATATAAATATATGAGATCAGTGTTGAAAGTTTTGGGGAAGCTTTTTATGGTTTATTGATATAATAATACTTTATTACAAGATGATACATGGATTTATAAATTTCTTTTAGTAAAATATAATTTGATTGATTACAAGAACTGGGTTTTTACGACGGAGACTAATTTTAAATTTCAGCTTGTAATCTAAAACTTAAGTTAAGTCATGATGACAAAAGCTAGGACTCCGATAAAAATATAAAGCTGGATATATTATACAATTTTTGAATAAGGAAAAATGAATACATGAACTTAACTAGATTCAGTTTTATGACAAAAATAACTAATTTCAGGTTGAATTTCAAGCTGGACACAAAAATTGCATCAATTCCCTTTAATATTGAAAAATACTGAACAAAGGGCTTTTCTTGGTGAAAACAATCATGATTCAGATACATATTTGAATAATTATATAAAATGTTTAAGGATGACACAGTTGTAAATGTAAATAATAGAAAAAAATTTCAACAAAATATTAAAAAACAATAAAATGTGGAATTCAGCTTCATGGAAGCGCTGAAGGTAAGCTTTGAAGGGATGGAGGAAGCTGTGAAGGGAAGGAGGGAGATGTGAAGGAGAATGAAAATATCTGCGAAGGGAAAAAGTCTGGAAGGGAAGAAAGAAGCCTGGAAGGAAAGAAGGAAGTCTGCAAGGGAAGAAGGAAGTATGGAATAGAATATATGAAGGAAATCTGGAAGAGAAAAAAGAAGTCTGAAAGGGAAGAAGGAAGTCTGGAAGGGAAGAAAGAAGTCTAGAAAGGAAGAAGGAAGTCTGGAAGAGAAGAATGAAGTCTGGAAGGGAAAAAAGAAGTATGGAAGGTAAGAATGAAGTCTGGAAGAGAAGAAGGAAGTATGGAAGGGAAGAATGAAGTCTGGAACGGAAGAATGAAGTCTGAAAGGGAAGAAGGAAGTCTGGAAAGGGAGAATGAAGTCTGGAAGGGGAGAATGAAGTCTGGAAAGGAAGAATGAAGTATGGACGGGAAGAAGGAAGTCTGGAAAGGAATAATGAAGTCTGAACGGGAAGAAGGAAGTTTGGAAGGGAAGAAGGAAGTCTGGAAGGGAAGAATGAAGTCTGGACGGGAAGAAGGAAGCCTGGACGGGAAGAAGGAAGTCTGGAAGGGAAGAATGAAGTCTGGACGGGAAGAATGAAGTCTGGACGGGAAGAAGGAAGTCTGGAAGGGAAGAAGGAAGTCTGGAATAGAAGAATGAAGTCTGGACAGGAAGAATGAAGTCTGGACGGGAAGAAGAAAGTCTGAAAGGGAAGAAAGCAGTCTGGAAGGGAAGAAGGAAGTCTGGAATAGAAGAATGAAGTCTGGAAGAAAAGAAGTAAGTATGGAACGGAAGAATGAAGTCTGGACGGGAAGAAGGAAGTCTGGAAGGGAAGAGTGAAGTCTGGAAGGGTATGAAGCCAAAGCAGGATGAATAAAACATTACTGGAACATCTTAAAGAAAAAAGGCAAGACTAAATGTGTAAAAAGAACATAAATTTTAAGTTTAAAAATTATATAAAATGAAAATTAGACTAAATTCTTTAGAGATTTCTGTTGACTGAGTTTCAATGTAACACTAGCACTGTTAAAGTAGCAAAATAAAATTATACAACCCGGAAAAATGAAGTTTAATCTTCCGTTGCACTTAAAGCAAGGCCTCAAGAAAGAGCTGCTAGAGACGAGGAAGCTCCTTATTTTGAAGGTCCTGATTCTGCAGCTCCTTCAGCAGCTTGGTCTCCAGAAGGCTCTGCTTCAGCAACTCTTCTTGCAGCTTCCTCTGCAGAAGGCCCTGCTGCGTCAGCTCCTGCAGCATAAGCAGCTCTAACAGATTCAGCAGCAGCTTTAACAGCTTCCTCAGGTTCAGGGACAGCATGATCTCCAACACTACGGCTCTCCCATAGATCAAATATCATGATATCTCCAGTGTTGGTCAGTACATAGATATACCTAAATTGAATACATCAAACTCTGATCTTTGCAACCTGTTTTCTAATATTTTAACTTCTGAACTCTGCTAGATCAAATAGTAAAAGTTTGAAAAATTTCCATTAGGTTGTATAGAATATTTTTCCTTGATAAAAAAATTCTAAAATATATTATTTCTTTTTACTTAAAAATACCTGAGGTCAGCTGCTACTGCTTCTATAGCTACACTGATTCTTGCCTCCATCTCCTAAATATAAAATTAAATTAAAAAGATTCTTTTTATAAAACAAAATTCTAAAGAATAAACTTAATCAAATCAATGAATTTATTTCATATTTTTTACTTTAAGGTAATTTGATTGATCAGACCCATAGTTCACTTGTTTGGATAAGACCACAGATTTTATTCCATCAATTTCAATCAACTTACTGTTTGAGAAGAACTACGCTTGGGAAATATCTTATGTTCTTATAGTTAATATAGAAGACCCAAATCAAATAAATCAAATCATATTTTATAGGGATTGTTTAAGGCATTCTCCGCTTTTTAAACCAAGTTACATTATTGTATTTTAAACATTGCAGGTAAGCATTTCAGTAAAAACCACAACTTTGTCGAAACACCTTTCTGAAGTGTTAATTTTCAAGTTCATAATCATAATCATAATCATAATCATAATCATTATCATTATCATAATCATCATAATCATCATCCTCATAATAATAACCGTAACTATAATCATTACATTATATAAACATGAATTTTCTAACCGTACCTCAACCATCTGGAAAACATCTCCGTATATAGAAACTGTACGGATATGTTCCCTCCGTCTTTCTATCCGATCCAGACGAGCTTCTTGGGACGGATACAGTGGAAACTAGTTTCAAAATAGTTCATAACCAGAGTAATCTTGATCATCGAGGATGGGGATATCAATAACGAAAAACTATACTTTAAAAGCTGCACAACAAGCTATGGCAGCAGCTAAAGTCGCCGGTTTTGGATCCAAAACTTTCACCCTCTGTATATCTGTATCTGACGATATCCGGCAATAGCTAGAAGTCACATGTTTTTGTAAACAATATAATTTAAAGAGGTAATGTATAAAGCTAACCAACATGTTCTTTGAAATGATTTTAATAAGCTAAAACTATTTTCCTGAAGATCAAACACGTGGATATCTGTTATACTCCCCAGCAGGAACCTCAATTATAAAATATATAAAAACAAACAATTCAGGGGTTGTTGGGGGTCAAAAAAATAATGTTTCACCATCTCAGAAATTTTTAAAGGATAAAATCTAAAGGATAAAAAAAAATAAGGATAATTTCGGAGAAAAATGTATAAAAACCATTTGCCAAGAAATGAAAAAATGTATAATTATTTAGAGAAAATCAATAGTTTTATGAAAAAAAAATGTAGGAGAAAGACAACATCAGTCCCTTACTTTTAAGAAATAATTTTAAATATTTAAAATTATAAAACTGTTGTTTTTGATTACCTGGTAGTCCCAAAGAAATCCAAAATGGCCGTATTAGTTCTGGCCATTGGTTTAGGAACACGTTGAGTTGTCAATTCTCTACCATGATGCAGATCAAACACCTTGAGATATCCGTCCTTACCTACAGTTACAGCTACATCAGGCTCCTTAAAAGGGATTGATGAGATATTTGGGTAATGAAGGACAATGCTCTTGCAAAGAATACAGATGTATGATCAGATTTCAGGAAGAAATGAAGGGCACAATTCAGATTAAAAACATACTGAATAAAATGGAAGCGGCGATTTATTGTCTTGTATTTAGACACATTTCACAATGAATACTCTACAGGATGTTCCTTACCATAATGGATCGTTCATAGCTCTAGATAAGGATTTTGAAACACAGCAAGAACTATTTCAGAATAAGATTTGAGAGTTTCTATAAAACAAATTGCATGCAAATAAAATGTGATTCTTAAATAAGTATTTTGGAGATAATTCAGTATGATATGAGACACTATATACACGTGTAATGCAAAAAAAGTATTTTTTAAGTAAAAAATACCTGCTGATGTAAACTAGCACCATACACAGCTATTCTTGGTTCATAGGCTTTAATCAAGTATTTCACCGCCATCGAAGCCATTTCAATAACGATCAGTTGAATGGTTCTAGAATATATCATTATCATTATTTTCATTTTCAATAAATCAAAAGTTAAAATGTATGTATGAGTTGTAAAATAGATAATTTTTTTTTTCAACATTTTTATCAAGTCTGACTAATCAATTAACTCAAATTTTCTAACAAAAAGAAAGACAAAATAGTTCAAATTGCACCCCGCGACCGGCGGGTTTCCCGACGCTCTGGAACCCTAGTACGTTAAGCGATCCGACTGGAGCTACAAGAGGAGAGAGCCTGCCTATCTGCTATTTTGATTTTTGAGCCCACGGACAATTGAGATGCTTGAAATGCTCCGCGCCTCATTTAATTCTCCCCCCCCCCCCACATACCCAGACCTACATAGTCTTTAATCTTCACGACAAGCTATAAATAATAATAAATAAGGATACCTATCTGGTAGCTCTTTAGGAGCTTCAGTGAATAGAATTGCCCATTTCTCGGAGAAATCTGCAACTCCAAGTTGAACAAGATGAGGAACCATAACACGTCCAACCTCTTCTATTGCAACTCCAGCACCTACACATTTTTTTAGTTAAACAATCTATATTGTTATTATTATAATAATTTAAATATTATCATTAGTGTGTATTTCTAGATATACTAGAAATAGGTGTTACTCATATAAGAGGACGCACTATGCTGGCAATAGGTGTTACTCATTACCTTGCAAAATTTATCAACATTATCTGTGGCTAAAGAGGACGCACTATGCTGGCAATAGGTTTTACTTATTACCTGGCAAAATTTATCGACATTATCTGTGGCTAAAGAGGACGCACTATGCTGGCAATAGGTGCTACTCATTAGCTGGCAAAATTTAACAACATTATTTGTGGCTAAAGACGACGCATTATGCTGGCAATAGGTGTTACTCATTACCTGGCAAAATTTATCAACATTATCTGTAGCTAAAGTGGACGCACTATGCTGGCAAAAGGTGTTACTCATTAGCTGGCAAAATTTATCACCATTATCTGTGGCTAAAGAGGACGCACTATGCTGGCAATAGGTGTTACTCATTAGCTGGCAAAATGTATCAACATTATCTGTTGCTAAAGAGAGCGCACTATGCTGGCAATAGGTGTTACTCATTAGCTGGCAAAATTTATCAACATTATCTGTGGCTAAAGAGGACGCACTATACTGGCAATAGGTGTTACTCATTACCTTGCAAAATTTATCAACATTATCTGTGGCTAAAAAGGACGCACTATACTGGCAATAGGTGTTACTCATTACCTGGCAAAATTTATCAACAATATCTGTGGCTAAAGAGGACGCACTATACTGGCAATAGGTGTTACTCATTACCTTGCAAAATTTAACAACATTATCTGTGGCTAAAGAGGATGCACTATGAATGAGGCCGCGCGTTGAGGAATCGCTACTGAGATTGCACTTCTTTGATCGCACACTCATCCATACATCACATTCACAGCTTAATAGGGTTGATCCTGATCTTACCTTGAAATATTTGTCCATTGTTCGTGACCACACAGTTATCTCCTTTCAAATCTCTTTTCCATGCTCCCTAAACAATACATATGGTTTTAAGCTCCCTAACAATAAATCTGGTTTCTTAGCTCAATAAATAAAAAATCTGAATTCCAAGCTCATTAAACGATTTAAATCTGGTTTCCAAGCTCCCTAAAAAATTAAACTCTGGTTTCCAAGCTCCCTAAACAATTTAACTCTGGTTTCCAAGCTCCCTAAACAATTTAACTCTAGTTTCCAAGCTCCCTAAACAATTTAACTTTGGTTTCCAAGCTCCCTAATCAATTTAACTCTGGTTTCCAAGCTCCCTAAACAATTTAACTTTGGTGTCCAAGCTCCCTAAACAATTTAACTCTGGTTTCCAAGCTCCCTAAACAATTTAACTCTGGTTTCCAAGCTCCCTAAACAATTTAACTCTGGTTTCCAAGCTCCCTAATCAATTTAACTCTGGTTTCCAAGCTCCCTAAACAATTTAACTTTGGTGTCCAAGCTCCCTAAACAATTTAACTCTGATTTCCAAGCTCCCTTAACAATTTAACTTTGGTGTCTAAGCTCCCTAAACATTTTAACTCTGACATCCAAGCTCCCCAAACAATTTAAGTCTGGTGTCCAAGCTCCCTAAACAATTCAACTTTGGTGTGCAAGCTCCCTGAACAATTTAACTCTGGTTTCCAAGCTCTCTAAACATTTTAAATCAGATTTCCAAGCACTCTAAATATTTTAACTCTGATTTCCAAGCTCCCTAAACATTTTAAATCTGATTTCCAAGCACTCTAAACATTTTAACTCTGATTTCCAAGCTCCCTAAACATTTTAAATCTGATTTCCAAGCACTCTAAACATTTTAACTCTGATTTCCAAGCTCTCTAAACAATAAATCTGCTTTTCTTATCCGTTTATCTGGAGCACTCCAACTGGAGGAATTTGAAAAATCAAAGATGAACGACATTAGGATGCAAAGATATAATGATAGGTTTAAGGCAAGTAGTCAGTTCCTTCGGATTATTTTTTTTGCAAAACGTTAGTTCATGTAATTGCAAAATTTATTGTACTGCTTTACCTGAGGATAGGATTCCGGGCTAAAATCTACTTTTTTCAGGGAAAGGAATCTGACAACTGACTTGTTATTGTACCTACATAAACAAAAATAGAAATCGTTAGAAAAGAAGGAAACGAAAGAATTTTCTTGTGTTCAGAATAAAAAAAATGATAAAATTTTCATTATTATTAACATTAATATGATCATTATCATCATTTATCATTATTATCATTGATCATTATGTATATAATTTTCAATGTGATCATTATTAATATTATTATAATTATTATCATTATTAATAGTATTATTATTTTAATTATTAACATCATTAATTCAATTTAATTTCGAAACAATGGCTTTATACTGCCCCTTTTCCTATATAATCAAAACATTGTTACTAAAAATTTCAAACTTTTCTTTAAAATAATGCGACTTTTTTAATCTGATAAAGTAATCACCTTGTGGGGGCCATTACGACAACGTCCTTTTTGCTGGACCCGAAGTAGAAGTCCTCCTTGATGACTATGGAAGTGCATCTAGCTCCAATACCGCTGGATTTAAGATGATAGCGTCTATACAAGATTATTCATAATCTTTCTTTACTCAACGAGAAGATTCGGATTCAACCGAATACTTTCTTTAATGAATGCGATACTATCTTAAACAAGAATTTTAGATTTTACAAAAAAGTGTAATGTATTTGAAATATACGTTCATATAAGAAACAAATTCTCGTTTTTGAATACAGTTTTGAAAAAAGTTTTTGAAATCCATAATTGTAGAAATTCGGGTTTTGAGGTCATTAAATAAAGAAATTAGATCTTTCAAGCAATGCAACTTTTTCAATCATAGCTTTTTTTAAATTGATTATTTGAATAAGTTTCCTAAGAAGAGGATCAGGTTGTGGAAAGAATGACCAAATATTGATTGTGTCAGGCAGAGTTCTATGACATTCATGCGCCTTAAAAAGAAAAGTTTTATTTATTATTAATATTATCAAGCATTTTTAAAATTAGTAGCGTATTTTAAGCATAATTTTCTGGTATTCAAGTTTTATATATCTTTATTTTTTTAATGTGTTAAAAAGTTTCACTTACCGACTTGCTAATTTTCAACAATTTTTGATAGATAGATACTCAACCAATTAAAATTTAGAAGATTAAGTCGTCTTTTAATTATCATGTTTAGTGAGCCACCCTCCTATGGCAAAGAAAACAAAAATTGTGAATTAATGATCAATATTTATTTTAAAACCTTTGCAACTAGGAGATTATATTTTGAGGAGAAGACAAGGTATTCTGGTTTATCAGACAGGGAGGATATCTCGTGGATACAGGCCTCACTCTGCCTGCAATATAATAGGGTTGGTGGACTTAATCAATTAATCAAACAATCAATAAATCAATCAATCAATCAATCGGTCATTCAATCAGTCGACACAATCGAACTCAACAACTAATCGATCAGTAAATATATCAATCAGGCAACCCACCAAGCAATAGACAAAAAACCCATTAACCATTCAAACAATCAATCAATCATTTTAAAAATGACCAAACAATCAACCATGGTATCAAGCAATCAACCAAATTACCGAGCAATCAACTAAGTTACCGATCAATCAGTCGATCTGTCCTTTAAGGCTTTAATCATCCATCCTGTTATCTAATCAGCTATGTATTCCAGCATTCCGGAATTACTTATAACATAATACAAGCTAGTTCTCGTTGATCAATCAATTTTGTCTAATATAGATCAAAAGAAAAAAAAACATGCAAACCTGTCAAATACTTTAATTGTAAATATAGCATCATCAGATCTAGTTCTTGGGCCCAATACTGTCACTATGTGATCCCCAGCCACCTAGATATCAAGATTTAGAAGAATTTGTAAACACTTTTCAGCATTAACAACAATCTACCTTTTTTACACTTTTCAGCATTAACAACAATCTACCTTTTTTACACTTTTCAGCATTAACAACAATCTACCTTTTTTACACTTTTCAGCATTAACAACAATCTACCTTTTTTACACTTTTCAGCATTAACAACAATCTACCTTTTTTACACTTTTCAGCATTAACAACAATCTACCTTTTTTACACTTTTCAGCATTAACAACAATCTACCTTTTTTACACTTTTCAGCATTAACAACAATCTACCTTTTTTACACTTTTCAGCATTAACAACAATCTACCTTTTTTACACTTTTCAGCATTAACAACAATCTACCTTTTTTACACTTTTCAGCATTAACAACAATCTACCTTTTTTACACTTTTCAGCATTAACAACAATCTACCTTTTTTACACTTTTCAGCATTAACAACAATCTACCTTTTTTACACTTTTCAGCATTAACAACAATCTACCTTTTTTACACTTTTCAGCATTAACAACAATCTACCTTTTTTACACTTTTCAGCATTAACAACAATCTACCTTTTTTACACTTTTCAGCATTAACAACAATCTACCTTTTTTACACTTTTCAGCATTAACAACAATCTACCTTTTTTACACTTTTCAGCATTAACAACAATCTACCTTTTTTACACTTTTCAGCATTAACAACAATCTACCTTTTTTACACTTTTCAGCATTAACAACAATCTACCTTTTTTACACTTTTCAGCATTAACAACAATCTACCTTTTTTACACTTTTCAGCATTAACAACAATCTACCTTTTTTACACTTTTCAGCATTAACAACAATCTACCTTTTTTTAAAGTAAATTTCAGATTTAAATATCTAATTCACTTGCACTTTATCCCTTTATCTGAGTAAAATGAAGAAAAATTAAATTCTGCAAAATATCTTCCTTGTCACTGCTTCGTAAATGCAAAGCACGTTTGTGCCTAAATCGCAATTGATAATTACCAGTTTTCAAAAATAAAAACAGATATTAACGTCATTTTTGCTAAACAAATGATCAAAACGGACAGTTGCAAGCCAGGGTGATTTTAAATTACGTAGATAGTCCTCTTTATATGTGAAAACATAACTTTAACTATAGTTTGATTAGTAATTATAATAATGATATTTTAAATTACGCAGATAGTCCCCTTTATATGTGAAAACATAACTTTAACCATAGTTTGATTAGTAATGATAATAATGATATTTTAAATTACGTAGATAGTCCCCTTTATATGTGAAAACATAACTTTAACCATAGTTTGATTAGTAATGATAATAATGATATTTTAAATTACGTAGATAGTCCTCTTTATATGTGAAAACATAACTTTAAGTATAGTTTGATTAGTAATTATAATAATGATATTTTAAATTACGTAGATAGTCCCCTTTATATGTGAAAACATAACTTTAACTATAGTTTGATTAGTAATGATAATAATGATATTTTAAATTACGTAGATAGTCCTCTTTATATGTAAAAACATAACTTTAACTATAGTTTGATTAGCAATTATAATAATGATATTTTAAATTACGTAGATAGTCCCCTTTATATGTGAAAACATAACTTTAACTATAGTTTGATTAGTAATTAAAACAATGATATATATCATGTCTGGGACTAGATCGTTGTTTACTAATAGCTTGACGTACTTTTAGGCTAACAATCTTCTGATTCTTCTGTTTCTGGCAAAAGAACATTGAGTTCCGTGTGACCGTTGGTTCCCATCGATCACTGCGCTTCCAAAACTGGTTCAACTCACGAGCTAGTTTCTAAAAATAATGAAGTTTAGAAGATGTTTTTTTGTCATCTCCATTTTTTCCCACAACACTTTTATCGCGCTAGGATCACATTCTTGTTAAGAGAGAGATCTATAATCTTCAAATTCAATTTTTTTTTATTTTTAAAACCAAACTCATTTTTTTACACATATAATAATCAGCTTTAATTATTGAAAAAATTTGCTTTTGTCTTTCAAAGCTATTTTTTCAGGAAAGGGCGTAAATGGCAATAACTGATAAAATGTTTCTGATAATAACCACATCACAAATAAATACGTGAAAAGGGTTTTCTCTCAGGCAATTCTTACCCATAAGTACTTTCCCTGAACTATACATGTTCATAGTTCATTGTTCAATCACGCCTGTCTGTTGTAATTCGCCTGGTGTATGTTTTTGTTTTATTATTTATTATGTCTGAAGTTTGTGTCATATAAAGTTTACCTTGTACAAACTCTTTGAATATTTAAGATCCTTTGAATCCAGGTTGTTCAGATCTACATTCCAGGTAGAACACACCTAGAAATATTCTACTTAGGTATAAAACCGGTTTTTGATCTTGATCCAAGGAGCTGATCGCTAGCTAACTTGACCTAAAACTATTTGCGCCTAGTCTTGTCTTTATATAAAAGAATGCTAATGTTGGCATCTAAAGACTTTGCATGGGGGAGCGGGGCCTTCTTCATTAACTCAATTTCCTAATATATATTTAGGTTTGTACCTTTGCTTTAAGATATGGGTGTGCGGCAAGAAGTCGTTTCAGCAACCTTCTCCAGTACTGATGTGTCTACACAAATACATTTAATTAAATTGGCTGACATTTTTGAGGTTACCCATGGGTACATGGGTAAATAATGTTGATTTATAAAAGTGCTAAAATTATAACAACTTACTTCTATCATAGAATATATGTGTTTGCTGGTCCTCTCGAAAACAGCAACTGTGGCAGGGTCCAACTTAACATTATTTTTAGATTTTAATTCAATATTTGTATACCAAAGAAAGTACAGGGTATATGTGATGCCGTCCTTAAACTTAAAAAAGCTAACGGTCTGAATACTAAATGTAGTCTAAGAATGACATTCTGAAAGATTTTGCATTAGAAGAAGCAAGTTCTAAGTAGGAGGTATAATAGAATTTCGCTCAGACATCTCAAAAGTCTGGGTACCCTGTATAATTCAAATGAAAATGAAATATTATTCAATTTATTACCATGTTGAGGATAAGACCAAGACAATCTTCATGTAAACATTCTATAGTAGTATCCCCATCTCTAGGGGGGTCTTCAGGGTTCCCATCTAGATAGTTTATTTTCAGTACTACTGGAGTACAGAAGAAAATATCTTTCACTCAAAAAGTTTTTTTTATCATTAACTTGGTTAAATTAAAGTCGATATATCCAGTACATCAAGATAACATTAATAGGACTTTAAGCGTAATTTCAAATGATCTTTAATGCAAAGATGGCGATGCTCGATTTACAATGGTGACCTTGAAACCTTAATCTGATCAAAAATGTGGAAGATACCTTCGTTTTTTAAATCGAAAGTGATAATTAGTGCGAGCTTCCCCATTGCTTTTTAAAAACAAGAAATGGGCAAGGTACTTTCGCAGAAAAAAACACAAATGAAAAATATCAGTTTAAGAAACAAAACATTGATATATAATTCATACTTGACCAGACAAAGCTTTTAAGGATATCGTTGTAAATCGGGCGTTGACATCTTCGCATTGATGATGACTTGAAATTACGCTTACAAAGTTACCAACCCGTTAATAACATTTTAATGTCTTTTTGGTCCCATTCTATTCGTTGGCCGGCCTTTTTGTAGTTTTGTTTCTAAATAATTTTGTAGGTTACAACTTACTCATTTACTCTCGAGTCTCGACTTTCGAAAAAAGATGATCATAATTAATTATAAAAGATTGATTGACATTCGATCACATTGATGGATGATAGATTATAAAGAATCAAATAATGATGATAATTGATAATAGTAAACTTACTCTGAAAGTTGATCTCCATACTAAGCAGTTGATGCTTTAAACTTCTCCTGAGAACAAAACTTATTTTTGATGCTTGGTAAAAACAGTTTAACCTAAAACTTCGGAGAAATCAAAAGAATTTATAAAATGCCGTTTTCTAAACCTACAGATAATAAAATGCTGCGGATATTTAGTTTTTGTTTAATTGAATAATTATATGAAGCTCTTTAATACTGTTCCCGAATAGATCATGGCTAATTATTTTTTTTTACAATTACTAAGATTTGGGTAAATCGTATAAAACGGAAAACCCCGTTCAAAAATGGTCAAGACGACATTTTTTAGTTCTTTTGATTACTCCGAAGTTCTGGGTTGAACTGTACTTATAACAATTTTTAATACAGAAATGTTACTAAAACTGCTTGGGGAGTAAGGTTAGAATGAGATTGAGTAATAATATAAAAAATCTATTTAAAATCGAGTCTTTAAAACGTGTCCTTTCAGTTTTAAAAAAAGAAAAAAATACGATGTAATCTAAACTATTTGAGGGTAAGATAAAGGCACTACAGCTAGAACATAATAATTTTTAAGAAAATTAGATCATTAGCACATGTTAAAAGTTTACTTTGTATTATGGAAACTTGATTGTGAATAGCTTTCTTTTGCTCCATTGAACTCAATTTGCTATTAGTTCAATCGATGTAGCATCCAAAAATTAAAACAAAACATTTGAACATCAAATTATGATTTTATATGTTTGACTTTAAAAACTGCAGAATTAAATGGAGTGGGTGGGTTGGGTGGAGGCTGGGGATAAGTGTCCAAGTGTTTTAATTAAAATAATCTGTTTCCTTTTAGCCATTTGATGCTTGATACTTGTATATTCAATCAGTAATCTGAGAGCATTCTCTCTCTGAAACATCAAAATCCTCGAAACATGAAAAGACGAAATTTCATATTTATGATTATTATTGTTATTTTTATTATTATTATTATTGACCCAAAAAGATGGAATATTGTCATAAATGGTGGCAGGATATTCAAACTATCCGACAACTTCATGATAATAATAATTTATCAATCAATTTAACAAAGAAGATTGATTATTTCAGATTGTGCGTCGTGCAGACACTTACATAATAATTTTAGTTAAATATTTCAATTACATAAAAAAGCTTGGCATAGTAAATTTTAAAAGCAATAAATTGCAATAAAAGTGATACAACAGCATTAGTTAATATAAGCCTATGTTGGACGGAGTGCGTAGTGAAACAGAAGACCGGTTTAGAGTCTATCAATATCGGTGTTGAGGTGACCAACTGGAAGAATAACTGGATTATATCTAACTGGTTTTTAACTGAAGACGTCGTGTTGCATTAGTTTAGATTTTTTTATCATGATAATCTCAAGCATACCATCACTCCCAGTCCCAAATCTATTCACATTGCACATTGCACAGCTTGGGATTTAAGGTTTAAGGTCACCAAGAACAATAGTTGAATCTGTGTTTATAGGACAAGTGATGTAAATTTGACAACTAAAATATTACAATTTTAATTTCTAAACTTAAAATAACAATTGTTAAAGATATTTTAAAAAGATATAATTCCGCTATAATAATTTATCTAAATTGACTACTATCACTACTTCAAGACTACAGTGAAACCATTATTAGAAGTGAGTCATGTGATGATGTGACTGTGTAATGTGTAGTGTGTACCATATATATTCAGCTCAAAAATGAACAAAACACCGTATTTTGTTCATCATGAATCATGACCGTAATTTACAAAGATTTGAATTTCAAAAGTTAAAGCTTTTTCAAAAATGTAAAAGAAAACCACTTTGGAATCATTGCTGGAGCAAGTCTCCTTTTGAGATTTTTTTCATTAACTCTTAACCTTAGATGTTAATGCAAGTTATTCCAACTTTATCACTAAAGTTTAAACCTGATGTTACTAATGTAACGTAAGAGTTTTACTAAATATGTTACAACCATTACACTGGAAAGTACACCCAGGAGAGTTAACACTGTAACTCAGTCCTAAGGAGAAGTTACGACGGAGAGTCCAATAGGGCAGATGACGAACTTGGGATTCCTTTTCAGCATGGAGAGCCTGAACAACCAATATAAATATTCAATATCTAAAAAAAAATTTTTAAAAAAGAACAATTTTAACCCTATCACGTTTGAGGGGGGGGGTCCTCCCCCCTGTGTTTTTTCTAAATAACTTAAAAACGGCTTACATTAGAACCTTAAATCGTCTAAACTTTTTCAACTTAATAGTTGTGACAGATTTTGCTTAATATCTTTTTAATGCATAGGGTAGGGTGGAGGAGCGTCAATGGGCAGGTCGGTGTTTCAAAAGAATCAGAAATGGTTAATAACTTTTTTATTAATTAAGCTACGGAGCTAAAATTTATATATTTAAAAAGCCCTTGAAAAACTGATGTAATAACATGTGTCTGATGTTTAGATTTGTCAAAAGTAAAAATATTTATTTTTGAAAATTTTTCCAATGCACTTATTGAACTTTTTAAAATCCTCCCTTGCACTCTAACCATTAAAGATAGGTCTAATTTTTTAATGAGCAGGCCTTTAAAAGTTTGACTAGGGAAATGTATCAGTATCACACTCCCCTATCTCAACTCTAAGTGCAAAATCTATATTAGATAAAAATGGCCCAATCGGGATAGGATTAAGTAATTTTTCTTTTCTCTAAAAATATCACCTCAGGGCGGAACTTTTGTATGGTTTATCCCTTCCTAATCCGAATCTTTTGTGGTCCAACGGTTCAAGTTAATTGCTTATGTGTACCTGTATAGTGTATACCTAAAAATAATGAAAAATTTTGACGCCACAGAAAACTTTCCTCAGCCCGTGAAAGATTATGAAAATACGTGTCAGCTTTTTTAGACGGGAAAAGCATTCTATCACTTAAAATAATGTGTTTAAAGTTTTGATATTGAGTTCACATATTGAAGATTAACGCTTTCTCATGGACAAGTTCCGTTAAATGAGAGAAACGTATTTTTGCTTTTAGTCCTGTTCAAAACTGTCAGGTTCTTAATTTAAAATGAATATAAATATTCTCCTGAAGTGTGAACTGAAGAGTATATGAAGATATGTAGAATATCCAGCTAGAAATACAAATTTAGTCAAACTTGCTAAAAATAGGTATATGTTAAATTCTTAAAGAACAGATAACAATTTAAAGGGAGTGTTCGCGAAAAATGAAAGGGGGTATAGGCTTAATGCGATAAAAAAGCTCTTTTGATCGCTACTAATCTTACTTCTATCTGTTGCGTCTACAAGGAGAAAATTGTTAAAGACGTCTCATACCGAATAACTTAGCGGCCATACAAATTGAGAAAATTGCAACATACTACTTATACTGTAAAAAATCAATTTAATTTCAAACAAATCATTTAGATATTACAACCTATAGTCATCGATTATTTTTCGCCCCATTGGTATATAGTATATATAGTATATAGTATATATTTTATAATATTTTATTTTTTTAGAAAACGTTTTCAACGGATTTCGAAAATTGTGAGTGGTGTGCGGTATTCTTAGATAGTTGCGCAAAAGACAAGAGAAACAAACGAATTAATTTAAAAATATTATAAAATATAAACTATATACAAATGTGGCGAAAGATAATCGATGACTATAGGTTGTAATATCTGAATGATTTGTTTAAAATTAAATTGATTTTTTTACGGTCTAAGTCGTATGTTGCAATTTTCTCATTTTGTATGGCCGCTAAGTTATTAGATGTCTTTAACAATTTTCTCCTTATAGACACAACAGATAGAGGTAAGATTAATAGCGATCAAAAGCGCTTTTTATCGCATTAAGCCTATACCCCCTTTCATTTTTCGCGAACACTCCCTTTAATTTACTAACTTTGACTTCTATTATCTCTTTTATAAATTTTTCGCTTAAAATAAAATGTTTTTTTTTGAGTTCATGGAAATTGACATATTATTATCTAAATGAGTAGAAGTAAGAGTAGATGTATTCCTAAAAGATGCCACCAAGCGTGTAGTTGACTCAGAGCTGCTACTCCAGTACTCTTACCCTTTCTAAACTCCTGAAATATAAATATTCTTGAACGTGCTTCTTTGTTAAATATACCTCCCCAGTCCCTATTATCCATCATTCCATACTCATTTGAGACTCTGTAACATACATCCATAGATCTTTAAAATTCAAATTCAAACAGGCTTTATCAGGACGCAATAAAAGGACAACAAAAAGGTGACAATCATACATTCATTTATATCGAAGTAGCGTTAAAATTAAAATTAGATAAAAAATTATTTCAAAAGGTGGCCACGGAGCCCTAGTCACTGCTCTCGTACTTTATAAATTGTGTTTCAAGTATTGAACTCCATAAGGGGGTATGCAAATTGCAGGGTTTTTATTCTCCAATAAAATAAGCAAAATTCTTAATAAGGGTAATTAATATCTGTTCACTGTACAGTGAATACCTGTAGATGACTGCAGAAATGATTATCAATATTCCAAATAAGGAATGCTACAGCATACAGAGCAGTTCCAACAATAAATACTCGTAAACAGGCAGGGTTAGATTCTTGATACAGTAGCCACACAGACTAAACATACCATACATATTTAGTAAGATAGATAGATAATGTGAATTTCTGCACAACAGAGTGCGGTTACTGAGAACATTGTTTGCTTGCAAACACTTAACTTTTCTCATGTGTGATAAAAACAAATAAATTTGTCCATGTTTTAAACAGTGTTCTTTAAACTATTTTGGCTTTATCATAAGTCAAGTAAAGAATAACAAAAATTATATAAAATTATCATGTCTATTAAAATTATATAAAATTATCATGCCTATTAAACTTTATAAAATTATCATGTCTATTAAAATTATATAAAATTATCATGCCTATTAAAATTATATAAAATTATCATGCCTATTAAAATTATATAAAATTATCATGTCTATTAAAATTATATAAAATTATAATGCCTATTAAAATTATATAGAATTATCATGCCTATTAAAATTATATAAAATTATCATGTCTATTAAAATTATAAAAAATTATCATGTCTATTAAAATTATATAAAATTATCATGTCTATTAAAATTTCAACAATTAATAATGATTTGTAAATAGGGTGATAACTACCTGCCCGAGTAGGATAACAATGACGAATGCATACATATACTCCATAACCAAGGGGTTGCTCCACACTTAAATAAATAATCATCCATCTTTGACATCAGAGTGAGGAAAAACACAACGAACTATAAGTGACTTAATTATAAGTTTTTTAACAAGTTTTTTTTGATGGGATGTTTGCTTGAGACGAAAATACAGGCTAAATGGATTATTTGAAGAAAATATTAATGCGTAAGCAAGTTAGTTCTTTTATTTTTAAATATCTAGAGGCTAAAACTTTTTAAAATACAAAAGTTTTGAGCTCAAAAATAAAAAATTATTTTGTTAATACCTGAGTAAAGAGCGGTGAAGAATATGGCATATCCTGCTAAGCAACAGATAAGAAGCTTGTTATGCTTTCCAGGACCTGTAGTAAGCCATCATTAGAAAAAATCAAGTAAAATCTCCCTCTTTTCTTTAATATCATATATATGGACCCTGAGGCCGAAATTAAAGAATTTGAGCCGCGGTTTAAATTTAAGCTGCGGCTAATATTTGTCGTTTGCACTTAAATTTGTATTAAATTTTTCAAGATTGGCGCTCAATTGAAACTGTTTTTTGGGGGATTTGAGACTTGACTTAAGTTCATTAAATTCGGACCCTGACGAAGAAAAAAATATTGTAATGGATCAACAGGTTTGTCAATTTCTATATTGGCTTTAATTCGAGACCTTTATAATACTGTTTACATAGTTATACAACAACAGCTCTAGGTAAGATTTCTATGAACTCAGGGACAAGAATCTTGAGTTTTATGGATTAAGGGCAGATGAATTACAATTGACAGTATGTTGGAATTATGTCTGTATATTGCAGTGCAGTAACGTAGCATAGCCTACAGGACATGATACTTTGATTCTAGGTTAAAGGATAATAATAACAATAATAATAATAATAATATTAATATAAATATCATTCAATCTATATATAAATTTGGCTTGTCTGTCTGTCTGTCTGTCTGTCTGTTTGTATCCAATAAACGTCAAAACGGCTGAACCGATCGGGCCCAAATTTTTTGTGGGACATCTAGGGACCCCAGGGAAGGTTTATGAATGATCAAAATTTTAAATATTTGTCTCCATCAAAATTCGATCTTCATTAAATTTTTTTAAATTTTGAAAATCCACGAAATTTTTTGTGAAAATCCGCGAATTATTTTTGTTTTGTTTTACGATGTACACAAAGAGAACATGTTCACAATTAATTTAGAAGATGGGCGCGAAGCGCCCTCTAAGGCTAGTATAAAAAAACATTGATATAAAGTTCTGAAACACCTTAGGTTTATTAACTCCAAAATTTTGGAATTTATAAAATATGGTCTGCCTTGTTCTGATACAAAAACAGATACAAAAATATAAAATATGGTCTGCCTTCTTCTGATACAAAAATATAAAAAAAAGTTTAACAAGATTAAATTGAATGACTTAGTATCTTTTATAATTTCAATATCTCGTTCATTATGAAAAAAATAAGAAGGCGTACGTTTTAGAAAATTCAAATATTTAATAAATTTCATTTAATTTAATTAATTAGGACTCCTCTACAACATGAGTCCAAACTACCTATGTTAGAAGTTGTTATCTTTCTCCTGTTTAAGTTCTATATTTACTCAATATGTGTATTATGCAAGTATGCAAACCTATCTTTGTCCAGAAATATAAGAGTACATGAGACTGTTTTCAACTCAACTAACTTAAAGGGACTGTACACGTTATCTTAAGTGACTGTTAAATTATAGGATGGCATGTCCGATTCACAACGGTTACGTAAAACTAAAGTAAATTACATTTTAGATTGAAATCATATTTTAACCATAACTAACCTTTTTTTAGAGCTATTGAGAAGACCAAAAATATTATGCGTTTTGACATGTAAGCTTTGCTTCTATCATATCTGTGCTTACAATCGAAACTAGAGAAGCTACAAGGTAACAAAGTAGTGCCAGTAATGTTGCAGAAATTAAACCTTATTCTATCTAGTTCAGTCTACGGTATATTTCTGCTCCGTAACAATGGAGAAAATGGCCAGAGTTCAACACTTGTCCAGCTTGAAACACTACAATATCTACCATATTATTGATACGGATAAGCTAATGGTTTAAAGGGTTCCTTTGTCAATCGGACATCCGGCATTTCCATCTTTGGTCACATAAATTACAACAACAATCCCTTTAAGAAGTTTTAAAAAGTTCTTTTGACCTTCTTTGATCATAGCTTGGAGATAAATAAACAAGCAGGTTGTATAGATCATCGGTAGTTCATCCAGGAGCTGCATAGAGTACTGCAGGGTCATGTGGAACATCCAGGATCCAATCCCAACTAAAAATCAGGCTTTTTAACAACACCTTCACATAATTTGCATACATAAAGGTTATATCTCCGACAAAACCTGAACCCTGTGGAATTATGGAAAAAAGCTACTTACAAAAAATTATTAGATATAAATGTAAGAACAAAAAGGAAACCGAACACTCCCCACAAACTCTAGTTTTCGAAGCATCAGGTTTCTAACACTTTGCAAATTATAACTAGGAGCGATTATTACTATTTAGTTTCAATCAATCAGTCAGTGATGAAAAAAAAAATGCAAAAATAATATTTAATATTAACCTGTTAGAAAGAAGAGATACGAGATCAAGTATCTAGTCTCAAGTCCCTGTCATTCAAAGAATCGTATTTCTTCATGCAAAACCACTTCACACCAAACAATTTAAATAATGGAAAATCAAACAAATTGGGGTTAATTAAAAAAAATCAAATTAAGATAATGAAACAAGGCTAAGACCTCATTACTAAATCATCTGCAATGCATTGAATGGAATGACATAATAGGCTATTCTATTTGGACAGTAAAATTCCAAGAAAGTGTTTCTGAAGGGAAGAAATCTTAGAAAATAGAGATAACAATTATCAAAATTATACCTATTTTGGTTTCATCAACAACCCCTTTTATAATAATATATTATAGATTTAAATAAACGTTGAGTTCCCCTTTAAACCAAAATCTAGATTCTTCCCTGCGTAAGAACTACAAAGCATCCGTAAAGTGAGGGAATAATCATTGCTAAGTTGGAAATAGTATTCCAAAACTCTGCAAAAGGATATATTTTCTAATATAGTAACGTATACAGGATGTCCCGGGAATCATGATAGCTGAAAGACAGCTTAAAGATCGTTACTAATCTTTTAAAGGGACAGACCGGCAATGTTGAACTGAGTATGCATTGTTGTGGACATATTCTTTAGACATATAAATCCTTTTAAAGATCTGTAAATCCTGAGTTTGAGCGCAAAGTCGACGTTCAAAATCGTACTTTTGGGTAGATACGTTTTCAGAATTGTTTTTTTTCAATATTAAATAAGGACGACAAAAAATGTAAACAAAATTCTACAGTAAAATAATTTGTTGTTTAGGAAGAAAAGATTAAGAAAATAAAAAAATTAAACTTATTGAAAATAAGTAATCTTATTCAACTATTAGTTTCTATAATCTCTCACTATTCACAAAGATTTTTGTAGATTTTCTGGAATTTTACTAAAAAGACGACATTTGAAGAATTTGTAGAAATCTGCGAATACATTCATAGAAAATAAGAAATTCAATATAATGATAAAAACCAAATAATTGATTCTAGCATTGATTTATTGACAAATTTTTTTTTTTGAGAAATATGTTCCTAACCATCTAATTAGTTTACTGTATAATTTTTACTTTATTTTTCGTCGTCGTTATTTAATAGTTAAAAAAAACCCTGAAAACGTACCCACCCAAATTCATGATTTTGAACGTCAACTATGCACTCAAACTTAGTGATTATACATCGTGGAAACGTTTTATATGTATCAAATGAATCCTAAAGAATTTGTCCACAACACCGCATAATCAGTTTAACTACCTAACATAGCCGGTCTGTCCCTTTAAATAATTTGCGATAATTTATCAACCTACTTTTGCCAGTTTGATTCTTTTAAAAACAATAAACACGAAATTATCCTAGTCCGGGTATTTTCAAAAATTGGTCTGCCTTTTTCGTGCTTTCTGAATTTTGTTCAGATTTCAATCTATTAAGTAAAACCAAAATTGTATAAATCAGAGTAAAATTCGTCGTCAAGTCGTCTTCCCACTGTCAGCTTTTAAGAGACACCCTGTAGAAATTTTGTCGTTAAAAAGCTTTAAATAGAAAATATATCCCTGCAATCCAGGGTGTAATCTCGTAGTTAGATTCACACCAGTCAATACTTGCAGTACGCTCACCCCACACTCCCATTCTCTCTACACATCAAGATTGTAGGATAGTTCATAATCGATATAAATGTTAATAACACATGGGGATATATATATTTTTTTGGAAAATCCACCGTCCTCAAAAGTGTTGGTTTAGAACTTAAATCACTTGAATTTAAATGCAATATTCGGTAATGGTTTTAACATTTATAATCAAAGAGAAAGGGTGAGAACACAAAGAGTTCACTTTGGAAAGAAAGCAAACTTTTATGAAACTTGATCCATCGTGATGAGTATTGTTTTGAATCTGTTAGTCTGGATAGTATTGAAGATACATCTAGGGTTAGGAGGGTTAGGAGGAATAAAAATCAAACACTCAATATGTAATATAGTGCAGGATATATTTTACTTCAAGATATTCTAGGGTTTTTGGGACGGAGGTTTAAATCAGACTCAGAGATAGATTTATTGGAAAAATCTTTCCCTAATTTTGGTCTACCTTTTGAAAAATGTTTTTGAAAATTTATTTTATTTTTGGTAAATTCGATAAAATAGTTTTTTTTGGAGTAAAAGTATCACAAAAAAGGGAAATCTTGCCAGCTAGAAGTACAATTGTTCATTTGTTCGCCCCAAATCTTTGAAAATTTAAAAAACTATATTCCGCTATTCAGAACCCAAACTTTTTTATGCAGAAATTGTAGCTATCCACCCCCCACCCTTCTTACTAAACCCATTTCAGCCAATCCTATTTACATTTTTCAAAAAAGAAATTAAGAGAAATGTCTTGCCTTAAAATGTATACAACTGCACTATGTCTAAGGTTAGGATAAACACGGAAATGTAAAATCAAAATCACAAACCTTGAATAACTGAAGGCATCGTGAGTAAATAATTTTACAGAATCTGACACTTTTGCAACAAAGGTTTCTTCTCTTTTGCTCCGTACCTGATTGTAAAAACATTAAATAGAGAAAAGAATACCTTTTTACATTTTTTTCAGAAAAAGAAAAAGAGAAAAATTCAATCTATATATAAATCTGGCTTGTCTGTTTGTTTGTCTGTCTGTTTGTATCCAATAAACGTCAAAACGGCTGTACCGATCGGGCCCAAATTTTTTTTGGGACATCACGTGACTACAGGGAAGGTTTATGAATGATAAAAATTAAAAAAATGTGTTTTAAAGGTTTTTAATTTTGTAAAAATAATTAAATTCTTGGAAATCCGCAAAAAAATTTTCTTCTTTGTTTTTAAATGTAAACAAAAAGAACATGTTCACAGTTTTAATAGAAGATGGGCGCGAAGCGACCTAAAAGCCTAGAAAGGAGGGCGCGAAGCGCCTTGAATTTCTAGTATTAAATAAAAGTTCACTTTTCTAAACCTTTTATTTATTTGCTGTAATGTATTCTAAAAAAAACTTTTAAAATTGATGAAAACTGAGAAAGACCTTACTTGACAAGTAAATCTTCCATCTGTGTATATCTAATCTCTCGAGCCATTAGCAGAGGACATGTCTCATTACTCCTGGATTAAATCTATAAATAAACCTCTTCGCTCATCTATATATATATATTGTATGTATGATTGTATATATTTATATGTTAGCTATAGCTGGCCAAACGGCTGAAATTTTTGAGGGAACCCATTGGGTACCCTAGGGGTAACATAGGCTAAACATTTTTTTATAAAAATATAATAAATAAATAAATAAAATAATTCCCCTTCCTTCCTTCTTTCAAACCAACCTGGAGGTAAATAAATAGTTATTTAGGATTTAGGATAAGAACTTTTGGTTAATGAACATATTTGTAATTTTTGAATGCTTAAAAAAAGGTCTAAAAATTTCAATACGCCACTATTTCAGAATTTTTAACATTTAAAATGCAGATTCGTGTTCATTGAGGGGGGGGGGCTGAGTCCCACATGAAGTTAAAAATGGTTGTGACACCCCCCCCCCCGAACAGATTATTATGTACGCCCATACTTCATAATACTAAAAAAATCAGAAAATATCTCAAATAAGGGAAAAATTTCTCATCCTTAATTAATGAGATTAATTATATTATTTAAGTTTTATTTTTTAAAAGATCTCACCAAGAATTAGGATTAGCTCCGTGTTTTAATAATATTTCAGCAATTTCTAGATTTCTTTTCTCTACAGCTGATAATAAAGGGTCTCTACCATCATATGCTCTTATCTTAGTACTAGCTCCTAAACAGCAAATACTTAGAAGTATGTTTAAAGGGACTGTTCTCGTAAATCCATGACCCTTCATTTAAAAAGTTTAAATTCTCTAGGGCACCCTTTATGCCAGAGATTTTTTTCTGTTTTCAAATCAAATTTTAGCTATTTATTTGCCCATCCACGAAGTAATACACATGTTGCTTTAAATTATAACTGGCGACACAAAACTATTAATTGGCTTTATTTAAAAAAAATTTACTTGAGTTTTTTTTAAATGATCAATTTAAAGAAATTTATTTTTCTATTTTTCAAAATGAAAGTACAATTAAAATAACTTTTAAAGTATTTTTTGCGTTAAATAATGAAAATCACCTTTACTGAGTAGATATAGTGTGATATCCTTGTGATTGAACTGAGCTGAGAACCTGAAGATCAAACCTTCATCAAGTTATCGGTGCTGCAAAGTTAGAGAAAAAAATGTGCCGGAGGTTTAGTGTAAAAAATAAAATGTGCGTACAATTATATGTGCATAGAGAAAGTGTGCCAAAAGTAAGTGTGAAGAAAGCAAGATGAATTTTCAAAATTCCTTAACAAAACATTTGAAAAAAATCTACAAATTTGTGTGAGTAATTTTTATCTTAACAAGCTACGATTTCATATTTTTTCAGTCTTTTAGCATATATTCAGGAGAGTTTTTAGGAATTTGTCCGGGGGCTTACATTTTTTTCTTTCTAGAGGGGCTTAGCACCCTTTTGGGCCCAAAAACCCCCTGAAAACACAAGATTACAGTAATATTCTCATGCTTCACAATTTAATAATTATTTTGAATTAATAATAAAAATAATATTGCTTTTAAAAACATGTGCACTGTCAATTAGAATCTCAAAGCACACCTCACTACTTGTCAAGATGAAAGTTCCTCAGAGCAGAAACATTATTTTCATCCACCTCGTTTACACCGACTTTTCTACTCTCTATCAGCTCTTTGATCTGAAAACATAATTTTTTCGACTTGCGTTTCTCAAATCTCATTGGATCTAGCTCTGAATAAGGATTTTTAAATAATTAAAACGCAGGGGTGTAAATTTTTTAATCATTACCNTAGATGGTATTTTGAGTAAAAAAATAAATAATTTTTTGGGGGTGAAAAGTAGGATAAAGGATGAAAAAACTTGTCCGATTTTTCGTTGTTTCCTCCCAGATCTTCAAAACCCTCCCCCCGTAATTCTCAAAAATAAACACGCTGTAAAAATCGTTAATAAATGTAAAAGATTAATTTACACATTAAATGAAAACAGGTTCTTTCCAATGTACACTGTAAAGCGTATAAATTATTGTTATTTATTCTTGAATATAATCTGACATGAAATGGGATCCAATCTGATTTTCAAAATTCACTGAAACATACATCTGTCTAAGTTAAAGCAACTGAGGTTTCCCCCGCATTAACTGAAGTTTAACTGTTTCTAAGTTGAAGACGAGAGTAGAACAAATATATATCTATGAATTAATTTGCAATTTCTTATCAGTCCTATTCTTATCGTAGAACTGGGCTCACTACCAGGGTAAACAGCACCATACAGAGTATACTATCCAACCTATATTTTATTTTGTTTACTTAAAACTGTTGGAGGGNTGGGGGTAATTTGGTGAAAATCCAGCAATGGAACCTTTGTTTCGATTGTGTTTTTCAATTTTTGTATTGTGTTTTTGATTTTGTATTTATTTGTTTTTCTCTAAAAATGCATTTTCATCAATTTTTATAACTGGATTATTCCAGAAAACTGTTGCTATGGACTACCCTATGCAGTAAGTAACACACAGAAGAGCATGTAACTTAAAATTTAGTATTAACTGATTTTTGTTTAATTTTTATCTCCCTTTTTTAAAACAATGTCATATTTTAAAGGAACAGTGCTTAGTGCACTAAATAATCAGTCGATAGAACATTGAACTAAACTATTCACAGTGAGGCTTATCACGTTCAAGACATGAAGTTTGTGCTCATACATGAAATTAATTCTAAGCCTCATTGTGAATTGAATCTTCCTATATTCAATATTGAAATTTAAAGTGAGTGACCATATTTTTTAATTTTAATTTTATTACCTTACCTAAAAATCCCTTGTTTAAAATAAATCATAAAAGTTGATATTACGAAACAATTCTATTTTAAGAAAAAACGTCATTTAAACCGTTCAAATATTAGAGTTTGATGCAAGTACTTAGTTCCTTTACCTTCTCCAGAGCACCTTCTTCCCCTCTCCAACACAGAGCAAACAAAATCTGACGAGGGGTCTCTTCTGTTGGCATACCTGTACAAAATATACATAATATATCACAGTGAACTAGAGGTCCTGGTTTACCGTGGTATATTATGAACATAATGTACATAATATACCACGGTAAACTAGTGGTCCTGGTTTAGGTCCACTGTAAGTCTTAACTTTCCTTAACTTTAGCACTCATTTTCACCCATTAAACGTAAATTGTTCGTATATGATGGGCTATTTATTAAAAATATTTTAGCGTTAAGTGCATCTATATTGTACAAAATGCGCCTTACAATGTCGGAACCAAGATGTATCTAAGTTAAACCCAGTACATTTTTTTGACGGAACCAAGTACGATGTAACTAGCTTATTCTTTTTTTAATTAAAATATTACCTCAGAGTAACAGATCAGTTTGCTGATAGATTCAACAACATTTTTTTCTGAAAATAAAAAACTACTTTTTCTTTTTTTTCCGTCGTTTAATTGAATTGGTTGGCTGGTTTGTGTTTGGTAGGTTGGCTGGTTGTATGGCCAGGTGGCTGATGTGTTTGCTCAGGTTCTCTATGATGGGGAACTCCACCTTTCCGACATTCTCATCTCTTACAAGAAACACCATTTCAACAATCATAAGAAATCTGTAAAAATACCAGTGCTGAGGTCGGAACTTAAGAGTGAGTTTAATAACTTATTGTGTATCTACCACAGAAACTTTTAATTTTATGTGATCAAGTGCATGATCCGTAAAAAAACAGCAGATTTCTATTTTCGCTAAGTCATTATTGTCTGTCTAAATGATTTTATAGATTTTTTTCCCTCGTATTCATAATTTAGGCCTAACTAACTTAAAGAGGCTTTAATCAAGTTAGAATTTTAAATGTAAGAAATAAGCAATCATATTACAACTGGTACCATCCAGGCATACTTCGTATTAAAAGTGTAAACAAGGGAGAACCCCCCCCCCCCCATCAATTTGTACATGACCAAAGTAAAGCATGTGGTTGGAGCGCGCGGCCCCCTAGCCTGTCCTAGCCGAGGCGCCCCTCGCCTGTCTCTTTAACTACATATAAAATCATAAATCAAAACATTTTTCTTAACAATTGCATATCTAAGATAGAACTTTTTTAAACCATGTTCCTAAATCATTCAGATCCTGGGGAGGGGTTATTCTAGAAAACACAAGACCCAATATATTTAGAATATAAACAATTGAGAACTGGGGTTTCAAGTGCCTGTGAAGAATATTCTCCTGAAGCTGATCACAGATATTATCAATATCAAACTCAAGCTTTTTACGATCTCTCCTATCCAATATTTCATTCTTAATTCATTATTCATCCTGGTCGGTGTTAAAGCATTTAAAATAATTATTTCATAATGAAAAAATAAATAGAGCGATATAATTGTAGGTAAGGTTTTTAAAAGAAATGAATTCCTTTGTTTAGATATTACAATAGCTTGAGCCAAAGAAATTTTAGGTTTCACCAAAACCGCCTGAAAAAATACTTGTTACAGAATGAATTTTGCACTTTCGGGTCCCACTCTCCATTTTTATAAATGGGCGAAATTTGAATTTTTAACCATAAAAGTGTAGCACAGGGTATAGTCATCTAAATTTCTTGTCAACAATTTATTCTAAACATTCATATTCATATGAAAATCACGTAGTTCGCCGAGAATGGTGGTCGTAAATAATTGACCCATATGTTAAAAAGATATTCCTTCAAATGTCAGTTTACAACTAATTCTTCTTGACAATAAATTCAAACTTGTCTATTAAGTTCAACCATTCATTGCATATTCGTTGCAGTCAAAATTTTAATCTTATCATCTTACAGGAAAATGCTTCCAAGTTTGCAAGTAATAAAGATAAAGAAAATCCCAGAAAAATTTACTAGCATTTAAATTCATCCATTAAATATATAATTATATAATCACCTGAAACTGAATATCTTCAAGATCAGAAATAGTCTCTAGATTTGAAACCTTGTTGTTTTCAGCTAGAGCCAGGTACTCAGCATTTTTGTTAATAAACTTTTTAATTTTTTTCTTCTTTAAGTTATTCAATTTATGCTTGTGTTTTTTGTTTCTTGAAAACTTCATTTTAATAAAATCTTTCATAAAATAAATAAAAAAATCATCATCTGAAAATGAAACACTACAAAATCTTTAAAAACATATTTTCGTTCAGCTAGAGGAACTATGAATGAAAGAACGAGATTATAGGTAATTTCCTTCCCCCCCCCCCACATGTATGCTTCTAAATATAACACGAGCTTTCATTTTTCTTGACCTGCGTAACACGAGCTTTCATTTTTCTTGACCTGCGTAGTGAATTCTTTACTTTTTAATTTAAAATCATATCAGCAAATATGATGCTGGCTAAGGGTTCATCCCGTTACTTTGAAAAAGCACGATTGTATAAATTTAAATATTTTGAAAATTCGACGGATATTTAGTTCTCCGGGTTACACTTACCTGACTCACCTTCATTTTAAGACTTCGATAAAACTGTAAAGAATTTAATTGGTTTAATAATTGTTCTTAAATTTATAGTTCACATGAAGCTGTTAACTCGTTTTTTAATTACAACTTTTCACGAGAAAAACAAAACAATTTTATTAGCTTATTCTAATTATAGTTAAATAGTGATAATAATTTATCTACTATATAAGATATAAATCACACGGTTTAGTAAGGTAGCCGCCACGTTATCGGTCAAATCCCTTGTTTAAGCTATTTCAGGATTTAACGTCATTGATAAACACTGTTAACTGAGTGCTTATAAGGCTTCAAGTGCAGTGTACAGTGCTCGTCATTTACACAAAGACGTAATATAGGATTGAAATTCATCTAGTAATGGTAGAAAATCCACATTTACGTCTGTTCTTAATTTGTATATGATGGGCATTGTAGGATTTTTCCAGAACTACTGTACATGTTGACAATGTTGTACAATGTACATGAAAGTTCAGTTTGTTCTGGGGATATTAACCTCACCCCCCTCCAGTTGTACGTCTTGAAGGCCTAAAATAACATACAAAATATATATTTCAAATATTTGATTAAAGACGTATCTCTAATTTTAAAGTTCGGGATTAGAACTTTAAATTATAAACCAATACTAGAGATTGGAAGAAACAACGTAGATTTATGTGTAGGAAGGCCATTGAATGCATGAAAATGAAATGAGACTCCATTTGATTATAATCATAAATATGATTAATAAATTCCTTTTGGCTGATAAAGATATCTTCCATATTATATCCTCACATGGTAGATAATGACAAAAATCCAGACATACAGGACATACAGGACAATTCCGAGATTTTTCTATTTTTTAACAAAAACATTTTTGATTTAGGATTCATTTTAAATTTAAATTTCACTTTTTACTTTTGAAAAATATAATACAATCTTCTATATAAGAAAATAATTATTTTTTCTCAATTCTCATTTTTTCCGGAAAGTTAAACCAAAAAATAACTGACCTGAATCCAGAGCCACCTCCAAGTCCTCCCATAAGCGGGTTGTATTCTATAAACACATATTTACAACAAAACTAAATCCTTCAAAACGGAGAGCATCAAAATCATACAATTAATCGAAAATGTAAACATGTTTTAAGGCAAAGAAAATAATTTTGTTTTAGTTTAAAATAAGGGTATATTTATTTATTTTCATAATTCCCCTCCCTCAATCCTCAAAGCAAGAATTCCCTCCCTCAATCCTCCTCACAAAAATTCTCCCCCTCAATCCCAACAAAAATTCCCAACCCTCAATCCTCAGCATAAGAATCCCCTCCCTCAAATCTCATATCAAAAATTCCCCCCGTAAATCCTCCTCATAAAAATTCCCTCCCTCAATCCTCATCACAAGAATCCCCTCACTCAATTTTCACATCAAAAATCCCCTCACTGAATCCTAATCACAAAAAATCCCCTACCTCGATCCTCATTATAAAATTCCCCTCCCCCAATCCTCATCACAAAAAGAATAAAAATAACAATGAGCTATGAAATATGTATATTGAATATTATGTAAAATATTTACTATTTAGACTTTATTCAAAATTGGAATAAAAATAAAATACATGCGCTTGCTTGGAGGGGGAGGGAGAAAAAAAATTTACAATTTTCTCTCTACCTGGCTCCCAACAAATATTAACCATAATTCTGCATTTTTTCATTTCTTTTATATCATCTAATTTTCCCTCTTAAGTTAAATCACCTGGTTTAAATCCTTTCTTCCCTTTAACCCTGGCCTGCTGAATCAGAGCTTCCCTCTGACTATCCACACCGCTCCCAACCCTGGAGAATAAATTTATAAGATATTTGTTTTATTAGGGAGTGCAGAGCCGCCATGAGCCCCGCAAAATGACCTCCGCAGCCTCCAGAAAAAGCCTTTTTTTCGAAAAATCTTAACATGATCAAAAAGTTTTTAAAATTACATAAACAATTTGTCTTAAAATTTAACTTTAATTTAGATTAAGACTTGTTTATTTGGTTTTCTAAATCTCACAAATTCTTAAACTTCTGCATAACTAATTGCAGCTTCATAAAAAGAAAAAAAATTTTATATCATTTCACAGTGGTATCATGTACAAATCTAACTATATATAAGCACCAATTCACATAACATAATAGTTTTTGTGAAATACTTGAATAATAAAAAACAATAAAAGCACAAATTTAAGTATTTCACAAAAACTATTATGTTTTGTGAGGAGAAAAAACTGTGATTCTCAGAGGGGGGGGGGGATTTAGCCCGGGATCTGAGCCACCCCCTGGAATGTAATAAAAAGGTTGAACCTCCCATCTTGTCCATGGACAAATTCGTTTTTACGCCCCTGCTTACTAAAAAAGCTATGATGCGTAGAATATTTCACCAGCCCGCGTTTAGAATTTGATCATTGATCATCTAACACATGTAGGTTTTGGGAGTAAAAAACCGTTAACGTAAATCCTACACTAGCCGTCGTTAGATTTTAAAAATTAGGTAATCCTGAACAAAGACGATATTGAAGTCGTCACGGAATTCATGTTTTTAAGGTCGCCGCCCCAAATATAAAACTACCTGCACACACAGTAAAATTTCGAGAAAATTTTCTCACTATGAATTTGATCCATTAACATCAGGAATTAATCAACTTCGCCTGAGATAGTAAATCATATCAAGTAAACTAATATTTACCTATTCTTATACCCTTTCCCCTGTTGATGATTATCCCAGTCTTCTATGTCCTGTTGTCGTCTTTGCTCTTCCTTCTCGATTTGCTTTTCCCGCCATTTAGCTGTTCTAATCTCGTACTCTTGCTGCAGACGATTTCGCGCCCTTTCCATCTCCTCCATCCTCAGAAATAGAAAAATTATTTACATTTGTCATCAGTCATCATTTAGGCAATTTTTTGCAAAAAAGGATGGTATTTAGAGTTTGCATAGATGGTATTAAGAGTATGAAGGTATTTAGAGTATGAATAGATGGTATTTTGAGTATGAATAGATGGTATTGAGAGTATGAATAGATGGTATTTAGAGTATGAATAGATGGCATTTAGCGTATGAATAGGTGGTATTTAGAGTATGAATAGAAAAGTGCATGAATCAAATCTCAATAACTGAGGAACAGAATGTTCTACTTTATTTTGAATAACATTGTATTTTTTAATCCTATCTTATCTTAACGCTTTATCAACTGTTCTAAAAACTGAAATTTTACTGCAACGAAGTATGATTTGATTTGTTTTACAGTTTATCCTGAATTGACATTTTGCAAGTGTATAAAACTTACAGGTCTGAAGCACAATCTACCTGTGTATTTTGCATCCAATAGTGCTCAAACCTTTGGGTTGCTCGTTTATTTTTTTGATACTTACTTATTCCTATATTGGTCAGGATTCTTTTTTATCATAGCTGTTTCCTGCTCCTGCTTTCTCTTCTCCTTCCAGTCCTCTAGTCTAAAATTAGAAAACTTTATTAAACTGGGGTTCATGTTTTCAAGAATTACCACTGCAATTACAAAAGTAAAAAATAGAAGTAAAAAATATTTTTACGGTGGAAGGATATTGAAGAAAACTTGTACACTTGTTTAATTATTTAAATCAGTGGGTTCATCATAGACATCATAATTTTTACAGCATTCATCTGGCTTCGAAATCTTTATATAACATGTTGGTCATGTTTGTTGTCAACTGTTCAAAATAATGTTCAGGTTTCAGCTGGAAACTTCAAATTGAAATATGATTTTCGGCCTTACTGGCTTCTGATGATTTATAGATTTACGTGTGCATTCTCAACTTCAACTGAAATTTTTAAGCTGTATGTTGATATAATATATTTATATTTTCATTTACAGTTTCATAAATATATATAATATATATATATTTTCATTTACAGTTTCATAAATAAAGACAATTAAAGGGCAGTGAACATAAACCAAATAAACCACAATAGGAATAAACGATCGGTTATTAAATGGACATTTGTAAATCTTAACTTGAGAAAATATCAATTTCCCCGTTAAAATAATTGTTTTTTAGCCTTACTTCAAAAAAAAGTCCAGAGCTAAATCCTTATTTACTCCTTCACCCTTAAATCTGCAGTAACTAACCTGTAGAAAAGAGGATCTATGTACGCAATCTTAATCCTTGCGTAGATTTTGTAAAGAAGAAAGGCAAGAATTAGAAGAGCCCAGGGGTTGGAGAGATATGTCACCAATCTAGGAATTAAAAATTAAATTATTTACTTGTAAATTGTATCTAACATTTAGTTTATTGACTTCTTCAATCGAAAGTTTTTTTAATTGTTTGTGCTTTTATGATTTACCATTTTTATTTCATTTAACAAGTTATAAAAATTCTTTTCAATTCAATAAATCTAATTAATTTTGTTATGAAAATCATGTGTACGCCATGGAAGATGTAAAACAATTAAAATTAATTAAAATAATTAAAATTAAAATTAAACAATTATGTATGTACTTTACATATCAAGCAGTAATCTCTTTTTGTTTGGTTGATGGACTGAGCCTCAAATTTTGATTAAGGGACCACGAGCTAGGTTCTAAAATTACAATTTCCAGACAAAGCTGGGTTTCCTAGTTGGAATAATTATAATTACCTATATTTGAACACATCCCAGTACGTATATGTATAATCATCGTTCCCTGTATTTATACCGTCATCAACTGATTCAACATATGCATCCTCTCTACCCTCTCCTCCTCTAGATACTTGTTCTTCTCCTAGTGTCGCCATTTTGCAGCTTAATGACACATCTGAAACAATAAACACGTTTTTAGTCCAAAAATCGTTCTCTAGGAAATTACCCAAATCAATCGTGTATATCTAGTATTAACTCAAGGTTAGGTCAAGACAGTTTCTGGGCCGAGCGCTGCGGCTAAAAAAGACTAGGGGCTAGCGGCACTGCGGTCAAATGACCGGTAAATGGCACTGTGTTACATAAGAGATCCATGTACAGCATTAGCCATTAATGATAGTAGAGTGAGACTGAGGGGAGGAGCGGGGGTCCAAAAATTGTTCGCTAGGGTATCCCGTGCAGTCTCTGAGCGGAATTGAATTAAAGCAATACAAATCAAAAGTTTTATAGACTATGTAGTTGTGATTCAAACTAAATATTATTTACCAACAGGGCAAAAAAATCAATATTGATAATTGTTCATGATAGCTCAATGCTGTCACTTTCTAACTCTACAATGACTGATGAAATGAATTAAAATTTCCTACATTTTTATCAGCTGATTTTATACGTGTCAAGCATATATTGGGCCAATCCAATACAGTACAGATAGATAGATAGACAGGTAGATAGATAGATAGAAACAGTAGTCAGGAAGATAGATACAGTAGTCATGTAGATAGATAGATAGGATAGTGTATAGATGTACAGAAAAATAATAGAAAGCCCGTTTCCAATGTTTTTATTTATATTTTACCTTTGATACTCAATTGTTGCTTAATGTTGTTAGTGGTTTGACTTGACAGTGGAAGGAAACATACCTCTAGGTTTTTTAGACAATGATTTTATAAACTCATATATAAAGGTAAATTTATTTTTTACTGCTGCATATGCAGGGTTTTTTGGGTCTTGGCTTCCTCAAGGGGGTCGTCGCCCCCCGGCTCACCCCTCAAGAATTTCAAAAGGAGAATTTTCAGCCTTTCAGGGGTCCAAGGAAGGGGGGTCTAAAAATCGTTCTGTAGGAAATTACCCCCCCCCCCC